AGTAAGATTTAGCAGACACACGGGATGCTTCCTCTGGTCACTCAGCTACATTTGAAGCTTGTCCTGTTCATTCCTTGGGCATGGGAACACTCCACATCTCTCCTCTCCCACTTCACAGCCTGCCCTGTAGCACGCCTCTCTCTCTCTCTCTCTCTGCATCTACCCTATTGGCAGGAGATGGTGCAGTTGCCTTTCTTAATATTCCCCCATCCACCTTTCTTTTGCATGTGATTTCTTCTGCTAAGATGGAACATGAATAAAGGAATGTTGATATGAAAACCTATGGGGCGTGGATCCTTCCTGCTTCCAGCAGGTGTCTTCCTCCCTTGCGGGCCAATCGAAAGAGCAGAGCTCAGCTGATCCCACAGCCGCCCCATCCCGGGGCACTTCTTGGCTGCTTTTCTGAGGTATAGCCCTGGCACCAGGACGTGGCATAACTGGGTAGTCACCAAAGCCCTGCAAGAGCCTATTGCTGCTGCCTGCCCTCCGGGCCACAGCCAGCCAGCCAGTCTGGGGCTCCAAGCAGCAAGGGCTGCTGAATTTAGTCCCTTCCTTAGTTTCCCAGAATGCTCCCTGCCTCTGAGGCATTGTGGGAAATTGGAAGCCTGGTTACAACAAGCAGCTGAACCATGCTTGCAGTCCTGCCATTGCAGCTGGCTAAGTCCCATCCTCCCTGGCCCTGGGAAGCCCTGGCCCTCTCCTACGGAAGAGCCCCCTCCCACCAGAGGACACTTTACCCAGGATTCCCTCAAGTCTGGAATGACTACATAAAACTGGCATAGTCCAGAATGCTCACTCAGATGTAAATGCCTCTTTCCCCACCTGAAGGTACCAGGTAAAGGAGTCCCTGTGGATTTTAGTCCATTTAGCCACTGGCTAACAGGGGGCGGTGCTCATCTCCATTTCTGGGGCCATGAGCCAGCGCTGCCCGAAGACGATCGCACAGTCATGTGGCCAGCAAGACACCGAGGTGGTACCTATTTGTCTACTTGCATTACATGCTTTTGAATTGCTAGGCTGTCTAGGAGCTAGGGGCGAACGACAGCGGATCACTCCATCAGGTGGAGGCTGGGCCTGAACTGCTGGAGTGCCAGGTGTTTGTGACCGACAGTTCCAGCATCATGAAGCCACTGCACCAGAAAGAGCATGAACGGCTCAGACCCAAGTTAAGAGGAGAGCAACCTGTGATACGGGAGGGCCATGATCAGATCTCCTGACAGATTGTCCTTTTCCGAGAAGCAGCGGCCACTTGGATCAGGACCACAGCACAGGACCACTGCGGATCAGGACCACAGCACAGTGGGGGCAGAGGGGGAGGTAACGCTCCCTGCTCCTCCCAGCTTTTCAATGCAATTTACCCTTTTCAAGGGGGAGATTCTAGGGGGATGCACAGGAGGGGAAGCACATGGAGTCCCTTGCACCTCCGCTGTCCTACGATTCGCTGAGCAGCCAGCCAATTCAGGTGATCAGAAGCCACGGGGCCCCTCTGTGCATGTTCATTTCAGCAAGTTCCCCTGAGTGGCGGTGCGTGTGGCCGAGGCACCGGAAAATCTCTCCCAGAAATCTGGGGAGCCAAATGAAAGACTGCTGGGCCACCCACTAGGCTGGTATGAGCCATGAAAGAGGAAGGCATACAGATAGAATAGGATCACCTGGATATTCCTCTCTCTGTGGCGAATGACATGCTTAAATGGTTCAGATGCAGCAGGGTTGTTCAAACTTCTGAATAAGAGTGCATATAAAACCCACTGGTGGCCAGCGCCGAGTCTGAAGAAGCTTGCAGGGGGGCACAAGAGAGAGAAGGGCACTCCTTGTAAGGTGCTGCAAGACCTCCAGGGGCCTTCAGTCTGCCTTCCATTTTGGAGAAGCTTTTGGGAGCTGCGTTCTGGTGGGGCACAGGGCTGAAGGCACAGAGACTGCCAAAGATACTGGCCTATTATCGCTTTAAACTCTTCCTGCCATCAACTAAGCCTTGGGGGAGAGTAGAATAGAATAGTAATAGGTTTGGAAGGGGCCTAGAACACCTTCAGGTCTGACCCCTTGCTCCCTTCCAGGTGTGGTCACCCATCTGACTGCAGAACCACACCTTTCCCGCTTAGAAAGGTGACTCAACATATCAGAAACATAGGAACAGAGTGAGTCAGAATGGGTCTCTCAGGCCATCTAGTCTGACTCTTGGCTCCAGCCGGCTCCGCTCATGACATGCCTACCATGTGCATGTCTAGCCTATCCTTGAACACCCTCACCGATGGGGCCTCAACCTCCTTCCGTGGAAGCCCATGCCATATCTTTGGGGTCCTAACTGTCAGGAAGTCCTTCCTGGCATCCAAATTCAGCCTTGGTTCCCTGAGCTTAGCTCCACTGGAGCGCATCCTGCCCTCCACTGCAGGGGAGAACAGGTCTCTACCCACCTCCGTGTGACCCCCCATCATGTACCATATGTCGCCAACAGATCCCCCCGGAGTCTCCTCTTCTCCAGGCTGAAAAGACCCAGTTCCCTCAATCTTGCCTCATACGGTTTTCCCTGCAATCTGGCCACCATCCTTGTGGCCCTACGCTGCACTGACTCTAACCTGACTATATCCTTCCTGTAATGTGGAGCCCAGAACTGAACACAATACTTCAGATATGTGGGCGCATACATATTCACTCAGTGTATTTCAAAGTACAGCAGGGAGAATGGGGCAAAAGAAGATACTCAAACCCATCTTCCCACATGCATGAATCTGCTCAGTTGTAGCTCACAATATATTTTTAAAAAGATCTCGGCTTCTTTCTGCCCTGCTTATGAAGAAATTTGCAAATCTGTTGAGTTATCAGAATAATGAACCAAACACAATTTTCTCCCTGGTGACCTGTCATCACTACTACTTCTTTAATTAGTGTTTTAATGACATATTATTATTATGATTGATCTTACAAAGACTGCTCTGGGAATCTTGTCAGCAAAGCAGTGGGATAAAGTTTCTTAGAATAATACACAAAGTAGTAACATAAAATAATCAGATGACAGCCCTAAAAATCCAGAAACAACATGGAAAGCAACCTAATTGGCCCAGTGCCACCAGGTCACGGATTTGTGGCTCTTGTCTATTCTGTGCTTGAATTACCTGGGCATCAGATGGATTTTTAAGCATGCACTGAATAGCAGAGGGCTGCAGTGTGGGCAGTTCTCTAAATCTAGGATTGCTCAGTCCTAGATGATGGGACTTAATAACAACGGGGCATCTGCTACTCCTCTGAGATATTTATTTATTTATTTATTTATTTATTTATTTATTTATTTATTTATTGTATTTAAAACTTTTGTAGACCATCCCATGACCGAAGTCTTGGGATGGTTTAACAATACAAAATGTAAGAAAAGAAAAAAATATATATTAAAATATTTAAACACAGCATCCTAACATTTATCAATGATAAAACCTCATTTGAAGCAGTCAGTTCTTAAAACATTGGGAAAATAGAATGGTTTTGGCCTGGTGCTGAAAAGAATAAAGGGATGGCACCAGGTGATCTGGTCACTTACTTTGCAACGCAAAAGTGTTCACAGAAGGGAAAGAGATTTACAAACATAACTCCCAGTGTATAACTCCCAGTATATAGCAGTGAAATAAAGAGCAGGATCCATCCAACGTACTAGAACAAAAGCCCAATCACCCAAAAAGCCTGTGTGAAGAGAAACAGCTTAACAGTTCGCTTGCAGGGCTTGCTCCTCTGATCACCTGGGAGGCTGTGGCAGGAGACACAGAGCATAGAAAGAGAGCGAGTCAGAAGGGGCTTCCTGGGCCATCCAGTCTGACCCCGGCTCCAGCCGACTCCGCTCATGGCTCGCCTACCATGTGCGTGGCCAGCCTGTCCTCGAACACCCTCACTGATGGGGCCTCAGCCACCTCCCATGGAGACTGTTTCCAGAACTTAGTGGCCACCCCTGCAAGAGGCTTTCAGGAGTGACCATCAGTGTAACACATTGTGGGATTGCCAGAGGATTTTTGGTATGTGGGTATAAAGAAAGGGAATTAATTTCTGTCTTGGTCTAAAAAGATCCTTAGAGGAACCTCCAGCTCCATGAATTTATCCCAGGAACAAGCCAGCAAGCCATGGCACTCATGCACAGTCAGTGTTTACGCTCCCTACAGGTCAGACTAGAAATAGATCTCGCTGCCACATTGTGAACCGATGGCCATTTCCAAACAAGTCTTCAAGGGCAGACCATGTGGAGCATGCTAGAAGAGTCTAGCTCAGTAGGAATCAGTTCCGAACTGGGGCAGGAGGATGGGAATATCTTCCTGTTCTGGTTTCAGTTGTTACCTAAGCAGAGAGAACTGGGGGGAAATTGGCAAGGCTTGTAGAACTAACAAACAAGCCAGTGAAAGTGCCTGGGCTGGCTGCACAGGAAATCATAAATCCAACGGGGAAGGAAATATCTGTTAAGGGTTGACCTCCACCAGGAGTAAGCCATCGGAAGCCACATTCCAGACATTCGAGGGACCAAAGCCCACCAGGTCCTGGACTACCTCTGTCATATACATGGATCATTTTCTCTATTCCTACCACCCCTTCTCTCTTTTCTCTCTATTTCTGCCAGACACACACCCCCTTCTCTCCCTCTCCCTACTTTTGACAACCCTTTTGCTATAAATATATTTCTGCCACCCCCTCTCTGCCTTGCAACCCATTTTCTCTCTATTTCTGCCACACCCTTCTGTGTGTGTGTGTGTTTTGCATCCTCCCAGCTCTTCTTCTCCTCCTGGGGCATGTTGAAGGAAAGACACAGGGCTTCTGAAATTAGGCCAAGGGCTGCAGGTTGCCCAGTTCTGAAATAAAGCATCAGAAAGGTAATATATATCATGATAATGTAGCAGGCAGACTGGGAATAATAGGTAATGGATGTCCTAAAATGGATGCTGTGGTGCCATCCAAGGTCTTCTGTTTTACTCTGTGGAATAAAACAGAAAACTGGAAAATAAAATAAGGAAAATTTGGTCACAAAGTATAACTCAGATGAAAAGATGCTTGAGCTGGGATTTGGTGGTGCTTGCAGATCCAGGCCTGGAGGACTCGCTTTCTAGAAGATGGAGTTCTGACTTGCTGTCTTTTTTCTGCAAGGAGGTCTCTGAGATTCCTGGAGCAGTGGCATCCTCCCTTTGGATGAGCGGAGAAAGAAAAAGAACATGGTTCAGGCAGCTAGAACCAGATGCCATACACCACTTGGCATTACACACTTCCAGGTAGCTGGTCCAATTTACATTTTTGTTTGCTTAAAGAGAGGGGGCTAGCCTTTAAATACAAATGGATCTGATTTCCAAACCTTTTCTACTCTATCGTATGCAAAGATAATCAGAGCCACCAACGAAGCGAAAATGGCAGTCACTGTTCTATATTTATCTGATGCCTTTCTAAAAAAGAAAAAAATAATCCAAGGCATTTTAGAATAGAATTTACAGAAATGTTCCAAAGCTAAAAATGGCACCATCCTTTTTGCTCCTCCAGTTGCTGCTCCTGCTGGGAAAGAGTTTCTCACAGGTATGAGAACTACAACTCCCCATCTCAAGGAATCGGACCGTGAGGTTCAGGGCTGGTCCTGAGGCCATGGGGTGGAGGCCATGGCTCAGGGACAGAGCACACCTCCTGCATACAAAAGATTCCAGGGGTCACCCCCCACATCTTCAGGAAGGGCTGCCAAATCCGTGCCTGAAGAATCACTGCTGCCAGTCAGTGCTAGCAAACCTGGACTAGCTTGCTCCATGGCAGCTTCCTGGCTTCCTACGTTCTTTTGGCACTGGAGCAGGCAGTCTCGCAAGCGCCTGTGGGTCTGTGCATCTTCCTGGCAGAAAAATACAAACCAAACCAAACCACATTTTGCAGCCCTTCCATCGATTATTTTGACTAACTTATTATTAAACTTATATTCTGCTATATTGGCCCAAGGGCCAGAAAACATTAGAACTCATGCAAATGTGAGACAATTGATCTAACCTGATTTCATTCGCACTGTAGATGGACTGAGCCTTCTTATTCCTCTTCTGTTTTCTACGGTGCAGGACATAAAACGCTATTCCAACAAGCAGGAGCAGAGCTAAGAGGACCCCTATAACAGCTCCCGCAATCACTCCAGCTTGTGCCATGGCTGTGTATTGAAACACAAAGAAAACACAGGATCCAAAGTTTGTTTTCAACTCCTGGTGTGAGCATGTTCTGCATCCATAGATGTATCCACAATATGAACAGCTTCCCTTGCCTATTTGCTGTGGGATTCACAAAGAATTTCAGGGTCATCTAAGCTACGTACCATGAGCAACTGTTGCAGCAGCTCCACCATGCGCCTCTCTTAAAGCCGCACCACCGATTGGACCCTTCAAAGCATGCTGCCCCAGATTAAGCCTTTTCTTGCCTCAGTTTTTTGGGTGGTAGCTCTTTATTTTGTTCTTGGTGGTGGCTGGTTTGGCACATCTGCACATAGACAAAGCAGGAAAGGAAAGGAAAGGAAAGGAAAGGAAAGGAAAGGAAAGGAAAGGAAAGGAGGACAAAAGGGGAAAGAAGCCAGAGGGCACTGCAAAGTGTAAATGTGCAAAAGTGCAACAACATAGTTGTGTACTTTTTGCTGTCATGTGCTGTCAAGTCATCTTTAACTTAAAGCAACCCTAAGAATGAACACCCTGCAAAATTTTCTGTCCTTGTCAGCCTTGCTCAGGGATGTGGCTTCCTTCGTGGAATTGATGCACCTCCTGTTTGGGCTGTTCTTCTGCCTTCGACAGTTGTGCATATTTCAAAATTGATTCTTGAAAGAACAAAGACACACCAGGACAGTGGGAAGCACTGAGGGATGGAAGCAGCTGGCTCAGTGCCACAGCTTCCCTCTAGGAATATGCCAGTGTCCTTCTTAACATATCGGCTTTCTTTTATACAAGTTAGACTCCTACCTTTGCAATGTAGAGTCATAAGGATAAATTGTGCAGGCATATTCTGCCCAATTTCCCTGTACACTGCTCTATTTTTTCAGTGACATTCTTGTCTTGGAAAGCTCCAACAAGCACAGAGCCCTGATTTTTAAGTGTCATGACATCTAATTTTATTAATATTCATAAAGTCACATAGCTTTAGACATGGCCGTAGTGCATCCTCAATCCTCACTTCCTTGTGATAAGAATTACCCAAAATGCTCAGGTGGAAGACTTCACTTTCCTGCAAAAAAGGCTTGATAATTCAGCTACTGCCACACATTCCAGAATTGTCAGCTGTATTCTTCTTCCTTATGTCCTGGGATAGCCCAAGACATTTTGCTGCCTGAAGGGACGTGCAAGATTTCCCCCACTGTCTACAGACAAATCCAAACTGGGCTGGCAGTGGAATTTTGCTCCTTTGCTGGTGACAGAACAATGCTCTGCACTCCACCAGAGGGCAGCGAGGGCAGGGCTGGCCATGGGGCACCCACAGGGCATGGAGCAGTGATGGCCGCAGAGCTGCCCTGCTGCTTCTCCCCACAACCACCCAGGCAGTTGTCTGGCTCTGCCTCATGGCAGAGCCGGCCCTGTTTATGTCTCTGGCATTCCACCTGTCAAAGACATTTTCTTCTGCCACTCGACCAGCCCAAGTTAATTTCATGAGAGACCCTGCAACAGATTCCGGCACATCCATCACAGAAAGAGAGCTGAATTTTTAAACCTTCTTTCACATAAAATATGTCGCACGTTCTATTTCTGCTGCTTTTGCTCCCTGTTCCACTTCGACTACAGCCTTTTTCTCAAATATGCCGCACTGCAAGCTACCAGGAGAGATGCTGAAAATGCTGTTTCACACCATACAGTCCTTCCAAACTGCTTTGGCTTTATAAGCTGCTCGTTCTGAAAAATGTACTCTGAATATGAGGGAAAGGTCCAACTTCCTCCGCTTCGTGTCACATCCTGTTCCTCCAAAATTCAGGAGAAACAAATGAGCGTGTGAGCTGCCAACTCAAGGGTCCTTCCTTGGACTGGCTGAGGCACAAATGCACTCGGGGCTAATTGCTGGGGCTAATTGCTGGGGCTAATTGGGCACCTGCAGGGCAGCTCCCTAGAAGCACAGCCGGGGAAGCTGGAAACAGGCGCCATGCTAGGAAGGGCTAATAGTAGCCTGGGCAGAGGAGGCAGGAGCTGAAGTCCCGGGGAAACAGCCCAGCCCTTTGAGCCTACGGTATTGTCTGCTGCAGCTACGCCACCCCCCACATTTGAGCATGTCAGGGCAATCAGAAAGGCAAGGCTGCAAAGCAGGCAAACGGCCACACAAAAAAGGGTTGGTCCAGGTGGGGGCCAGGCTACAGCCAGGTTGGTATCGGTGCAGTGCAGGGCCGCAAGGATGGTGGCCAGATTGCAGGGGAAGCCGAATGAGGCAAGACAGAGGGAACTGGGTCTCCTCAGCCTGGAGAAGAGGAGACTCCGAGGGGATCTGTTGGCGACATATAGGTACATGATGGGGTGGCACATGGAGGTGGGTAGAGAGCTGTTCTCCCCTGCAGAGGAAGGCAGGACACGATCCAGCGGAGCCAGGCTCAAGGAACCAAGGTTCAGTCTGAGGAGAATTCTAGGCACAGCAAGTTTGCTGCTCCAACAGATACCCATTTCACAGAAAAGGCAAAATGAGGCAAAGATGCATGCAACTTGAACTAGAGCTTGCTTGCAAGGCAGTGGCATAGTCTGATTCCCACAAGTCAAAACTGCTCCTGTGAAGCCAGAACAGAATCCCCCTTGCCCCCTCCCCCCACATTCACATACTACCTGCCAGGTATTTTTTTTCCATCCAGTCAGTGGAGGATCTAGGTTTGTTTTTTCCCATGTAAATCACTGTATTCTATCTCATCACTGGAGACTTTTTCTGCTGTACCCCCTTAAGAGTCTTCTAAGTCTGAATAGGTCCCAAGCTTTCCTCTTTCTCTTTCTGTTTAAAATCTAACGGGTCCTTTGCCTTAAATAATCATTCATTTCCAGAGCACCCTCTTCTTCCTCCCCAGCACCCTAAGAGTGTTTTCTGTCTCAAATGTCTGCAGATGCCACCCTGTTTTCTCTCCCAGCTGCTGTTCAGCCAAGAAGCAGAGCCATTAGTGGGGGAGCTGTCCACAGAAATGAAAACTAATTAAATGAGAGAAATTGACCTGAGTAGGAGGCAAGACAGAAAAAGAAGAGATGAGTTGTCAAGGCAGGAATCAACGCCTGGAACATTCTACAGGTTGCTCAACAGCAATCAGGCGATGGAGCATGGATGGGCGGGAGTGTGACAGAAGACAGTCCAGGGCCCCGGAAGTCCCAGTCGGTTTTCAGCAGCACTTAATTTCAAAAATAGGAGGCCCCAGACTTCAAGCCTGGCTGGGAATCACATGCTCGGCTCCAGAGCCAACTGCCGCTATTCCCCGCTTGATGGAACCAGTTGTGATCACTTCTCAAGAGTGAAACAGCACACCCCACAAATGCTCAGAGGCACCTGATCCCAGGTAGTCCAGGTGCAGCCTGCTCTCAAGAAAGGATCAATTTAAGCTGAACGGGGGACCATCCAGTCAAGGGGTCCACAACCTTACTCAGTTGAATGGCTGCCGTGTGGGATTCTGCAGTCAGTGAAGCATTACATTTCTTTTATAATGCCAGGAAATCGAGCACCTCAAAAGGAGGTGCTCACCTGCCAGATTTCCTCAAAATGTTTGGGATCTTTTGCCAGAGTTTCACATGCCCTGCCAGAGAGAACAAGCCCTAATGTTGCAATCACACACACGCAACACTTAGAAAGGTACTCGGTCAGACAAGGGAAAGGTCCGATTTGGCCTATCCACAGAGTTGGCTGGCACAGTGGAGAGAATATCGGCTGTTCTGTGGGAGATTCTGAGAAGTTGGTCTAGTGCACATCACCACTGCTGTGTTTTGGGCATCTCTGCGGGACTGTGTGGATTTATGTAGATTTGCACTGTTCTGCCAATAAAGGTTCCCACGACTACTTTTTCCCTCAAGCAAGATAGAAGACGCCCACCCAATATAGTACATGCCTCATAAAAAGCACCACTTCAAGCAGCTGGAACTTATGCAACCACGGGGTCTTAACTCCACAGTTTTAAAACCTCTTCTAATGAAGGAAGGCTTGCAAGGTCTCCTCCAAGAATATCTCTCCAGTCTTCTAAATTAACCCTAATGACGTCCTTCATGGCTGCTGCAATAATGCATGGCACTCAAAGTAGGATCAAACACCTATTATGTCCAGCTCATTGATGAGAGCTGGCGGTGGGCCCAGAATTCTCCTGCAGAATTAGCAGGAATGTCATCTGGGTGTCAAAACTGAGACATGGTGAAGGAGATTTTGCTCAGGGACTAATCTGATAAAGCAGGAACAAAGGGTATATTCAGCAGGAACTGTTGAAAGCTCAAAGTGACGGATGCAAATCATTTTTTTAAAGGTGGGTGCATGGAGGAAATATTATTGGAGTAAATCTTCATTTAAAAGATGACCTTGACTGCATGGAGCTCCTGAAGATTCTTGCTGCCTACTCAGGGCTCCTCAATGCAGCTTAATTATTCCTTTAGTCTCTCTGTTATGATGCCAGCAAGCAGAGACATCACAAGCAAGCTTCTGAGTTGCACTGCATGGTTTGTAAGGGCCGGCTTATGCATTCAACAGAATAACCCCATAAACTTTTTCCTAAACTGAGGTCAGAGTAGAGGTGTGAAGGCTTGGGGGACCCCCCCCCCCAAATTCAGGGACAGACCCCCTGCCATCCAGCTTCTTGTCAAAAATCCTTCAGGAATATGAAAAACTCCTGCCTTTCTACCCACTTTTTGTGGGCCTTGCTCACCCAGTCCTCCCCATCTCTCATGTGGGTGGGTGGAAGCTTGCTATTGCTTTAATATTGATTTCCAGGGCAATGGAAAGCTGGCACAGTGCAGCCTACACGCTGTCAGACTATTCCTTCTATTCCCAGGGCATTCCCCACCCCTGCCAGGAACTTTAAAAATGCAGCCTTCCCACACATCAGGGCAGCTGGAATTGCTCCAGTCGCTACAAAGCTCCGCCAGCTGATACTGCTGTCTGAACCGACCCTCTCTGAGACCAGCGCCAGCTCCATGCTTTGGAAGGCCTTTGTGCAAGTCCTCCATTGGGAGCCTGCTTCCTTGCCTCCATTGCCCCAACTGTGCTGGCTCCTCCTTCTCCTTCTCTGATTCTTCTCAGAGGGGTCCTAAGGAGATGTGCATCCCTGGCATCTGCCCAATCATACCCACCCTTGCGGTCAGTACTGCTTGAGCTGATGGGAGCAGGGAGTGAAAGAGCCAGCTGAATCACACAAAAGATAGGAGTGCAAGCTCCGTAGGATCTGAGGTCCGGTTTCTGAAGCCCAGAAGAAATGTGGTGCCAGAAGTAGGACAGATATCTTTGCGATGCTGGCCCAAGATGATGTATTGCTTGTGCTGAAGCAGGAACCAGCACTTCCTCAGATCCATGCATTCTTGCAATATATCCCCCACTGCAAGGTTCAGGGCCTACTTTCTAGCAGCCTCAGCCCCTTCTTCCCTAGTATTACTAGGGAATATGCACTCCATTGGACTACACTGCAGGGCTGTCCGAAACTCCCCCCCCACACACACACACCCAGCCCAGCCTACAGTATCACAAGAGATGAGCTGGGATGGAGGCAGGACCCCCCCCCCCTCACCCCGTGGTGGGGCTCACATTGAGATTCTAACTATGCCCTAGCGTTAAAAAACTCACATGGAAAAACAGCCATGCTAAGCAAGACACATATTTGCCACTAGATGGCACCACAGGCTCATGGTGATTTGCTGAAAATAGAGGTGGACCCTTTGGCAAACTGGGTTTATAACTGTAAAGCAGAACACGTGGAAGTCTCTCACTGGCGCCTCAGGGCTGTGCTAAGCACGCAGGTCCCCAGCACTCCAGTCACACCAGAGAACATGCAAGGCTTCCCCGTAGCATGTCCACTGGTTTCTTGATGTTAATGGCCATTTATGCAGTGCCTTCCAGGGCATTCAGTGTGCCCCACCCAAAAAAAAAAAAAAAGTCTTATTTGAATCCAGCAACAACCTTGTAGGGTAGGTCGTATAGCAACCTCCCCCCTTGCAGACAGGATGTTGACAGAGAGGCAATTCACAGCACGACATGAGAGCAATTCCTGATATGGGCTTCTTGGTCTGTAGCCCAGCTTCTTAAGCCACTGCTCCGTGCTGCTTTGTGGGCTGCCATGTGGCTGGTGCTGTAACTGCTACTTGGACTGAGCATCAATGACTGGATATTCCTTTCCTGATTAAACTTAAAATGCTTGCTTGGGGATTGATGCAAACTGTACCAACCTGGTGTTGATTCCAAGTTTCTGCTGTCACTCCCCTTTTTAACAGCTCACAATAACTAGTGGCCACTCCTCTTCCGGCTGGCTCTGCGGCCCCCTTAATTCTGATGGGTGTCATGTTCCCAAGACTAAAGAGAAAGAGATTCCAGGCCAGGAACGACCATTTAAGCCCCTCAGCATCCTACACTTTTTACAAGCACTGATGCAGGATCAGTCCCATTTAGGCTGACTCAGACAGCCAGACTCAAGAAGATGAATAGGAAGCATCCGGCCATTCCAGCCAAAACTCCGAGAACCCCACCTGTCACTTGAAGGGTTATTTGGCATGTCTTCTGGCCAAACTCATTGGATGACGTGCATTGATATATCCCAGCCAATGCGAGGGAGACATTCAGCAGCTCCAGAGTCCCCGTTTTTTCATCTGTGAGGAGGAGAGGAGAACAGAATTAAAATAAAAGCCAAAGTTTGGATAAATATCCCCTGTTCTCTCTTAGGGGCTGGCAGAGTTGTGTTTAGGCCATATTTTTCAGTGAATGAACAACATTCTCCCTTCCGAGACTAATATGCAGCCCTCAGATGGAGCCCGCTTTTGTGAGGCAGCTTTTGGCTCAAGAATTATGAGGACGCCGGGGGCCCACGAGGGCTGTCCGCAGCAGCCATGCCTCAGCTGCTGCTCTCTGGCCAGGGGGGCATCCAAAATGGTGTCCATTGGGGAAAATGGCATACAAAGGTGAAACCCCAAATATGCATTGTGGGGGAATTTGTGTACAAAGTAAAATGCATTTTTAAAATAAACCTGAAACTAATGTGCAAGTAGGATGGGATGGATTTAGGACAATGCATGAAAAATTGCCCTGCACTGGATCTACACCTCTGCTTTGCCTAGGACAATCAGGCAGCAGCTGCAAAGATCAGATTCTGTGCATGTCTAAATAGGAAAGAAGAATAAGCAGGTTCTGAGCTACATGTAATCAGGCTCAGCTGAAATACAATACCCCTGTTAGTAGTCAGGTTTATGGTGCAATCCAGTGCATATTTAGTCTCCCAGGACTGGAGCTGCCACATTTAAGCAGGTGACTTAAAAACAAAATTCATCTAAGCAGGGCCAAACCAAGACATTTTGCAGCCTGAATGTCAGAAAGATGCCCCCTCCTGGCCTCCACACAGAAGTTGACAGGACCAGCAGAACAGTCATGTGCTGGTGATGGGAAAGCATCCAGCACCACACCCGAGCATGGGAGGAGCTCTGTGCTACACAGTGTAGGACCCCTTCTCACTCTTGCTGGACAAATGGCCACAGGGGCACAGCTTAGCTGTGCCCACACACCTGTGGTTTAAAAGATGCAAGGCAGTTGTCTGAATCCACCCCACCAATGGTAGCCTCTAAAGCATCACCAAAAGGAAGGAAAAGAGAGCACTGATTTGCAATCAAATTACATGAACTAATCTGATGTATAGTTGATGCAGCATCTGAAATTCTCTTTAAACAGAATTACAAAACATCTCATCATTGCAGAGGACCCTGGCTGCTCCCTTCCTTCAGTGCTCTATAATTGAAGGACCACATTCCCACTTCAGAGAAGATCTCCATGGTTACATTTTGCACCGAATGGTGGAGGCACCCACTCTTTGCTGCCTCCCGGGGGCCTGTACAATCAGACTCTGAGGAGACACCCATGAAGATGCCATGGGTGGATGGGAGGATCAAAGGCGGGCAGGAGACTCGGAAGCTCTGTCAAGGTCCCTGACTGCAGTTTCCTGGTCTGGCCATGACAGCAGATGTGATTTTGCAGAGATGAGGGGACCCAGGAGAGAGGGAGAGCTACCCAGTTAGAAGGCTTGTATAAGTCTTGCTGACTGGCTCTCCACTACTGGGAGCGGCCCTCAGTGTGAATGAGAGGGAAGGTTTGGGAAGAAGTTTCCAGTTTGGGCTTAGCACGCACTCTTTACATAGAAACAGAGTGAGTCAGAAGGGGCCTCCTGGGTCATCTAGTCTGACCCCTGGCTCTAGCTGGCTCTGCTCATGACATGACATGAGCAGAGGCTTATTGTTCAGCTGGCTAGGGGGCTTTTAGCGTTGCATTGTCTTGCTAGCTGTGTAGTGCTAATGGAGATTGACATTGTTAAGGACTGTCTGGTGTTTTGGAGCCTTGGGCAAAAAAGCAGAAAGGTCTGGCTCATGACACATTTCTGTGGTGGGAGAAACCAAAGGCAAAAGGAGGCGGGGCTTATAGTCCCCTTTCAACTCTACCATTCCATGCTTCTGGGGCCAGAAATGCCCACATATTTCAGCTAAAAGTTCTTGCTGTCAGTAACTGCCCTTGTTCTCATTCTAATATTTTAGAATGGTGGGGGGGGGGAGGTGTACAAAAATTAGGAAACCATCAAAAGGGGAAAGCAGGTTGTGTCAAAGGAAGGGGGCATGGCCTTCTGGGGATCCCTGGACTGAGCTCCTGGACCCCTGCTGTAGCAAAGGAGTTCTCGGCAGGGGAAACACCTGCTAAAGGGAAGCATGGAGAAAGCCCAATGGAGTGAGAGACTGGCTACCCCTGAAAACGGCATTGATCTGGGGAAAAGCAAGTCTTTCAAACAATCAGCATTGGGAAAAGGAGGTGCAGGAACCTGGATCGAAAGTGCTTGGCAATAATTAGGGTTGGCTTCTGGGTTAATTTGGGGTTGGGGTGGGATAAGTTTTCAAGGATGTGATTTTCAAACTTCCTGCATCCCTGAATCTACTGAGAAAGAAGTTCTGTGATGAATTTCCTAACTATGGTAACATCTCCTTCCTGATTTGCAGCTGGCAGTGTAAGAATGCAAAATCTGCTACCAGCCTTTGTCCAGTCTTCCAAAGCAACCAGCAGGGAGTCCACACACCCTGCTGATGAGAAGTGAAATTGTGGCAGTGCTGCTGGGGTTTTTAATGACTTTGACATGACACATACTTCTCAATCCATGATGCCTCTGAGAGAGGCAGTGGTCCACCTACTTTGCACTGTGTTGGACACAGGTAGCGGCGACTTGGAATCCAGCCGTTTCCAGGAGTAGATCGGGGCAGGGACACCTTCTGTGGAGTTGCAGGTCAGGGTGGTGTTTGACCCCACTGAAACAGAGGTGGTCCCTCTGCACACGGGTGAGGATGGTGCCACTGATGAGAAAAGACCTCTTGTTACTATCAGCATCTGGGACATGGGTGGCTGGGTATCAGGTCAGGGCACCAGGACCCAGACAACCAGCACAATATTCAGGCCCATTCCAAATTGTAGTCAGGCAGTCCAGAGAGATCAAGGTGGGTAACAGAAATGCAAGGCAGGCCAATCCAAATAGAGCAGAGCAGGTCATGCCAGTCAGGAGATGAAAGCCAGGGAGACAAGCTGAGGAGAAGCGGATTCCTGGGACTGGAGCAGAAGCTGGAGCAGGTGAAGCCAGGCACGGTCCAGAAGCAGAGGCCGGAGCAAGGCAACGGGCAGTGTTTCCAGAAGTGGGTTCCAGAAGGCATGGGAAGCTCCAACAACATCAAGACCTTTGATTGCTGAGACCACATCTGAAGGGAAGAGCCGGTTCTTCTGTAGCTCTTCCCTCAGGGCTCCCAGGTGGTGCTCATGACAGCCCTGGTGGCAGCGATTGCCTGTAGGCCCAGTCCTGCAACCACCGGGCTGCTATTCTGGTCTCTGGCCAGAAGAGGGAGCCCTGGTCCTGCCTCAGAACCTCACAGTTACTGATGCTTCACTCTTATTTTCCACTCCTATTCATTTATTTTATTTTATTTAGAAAACTTTCATGCCACCCCATTCGCCGAAGCCTCGGGGCGGCTTGCAACAATAAATAAATAATAACAATATAAAACAATATAATATAATTGGAGATGTCCTGGCCTAAGTTTTCCTTGCTCCCATGCTGCCAACACTTCAGTGCTGTGCACATGCATACTTGGGTTCTTGCACATATTTACCTGGGAGTATATGCACTGAACACAGTTGGACTGGCTTCTGGGTAAATATGTTGGGTATTGTTGCTCTGTGTGCATAACAAGGGAAAACCCTGGGGGAAGCTAGATGTGACATTCACCTCTTTGCCAGGAACATGGTGGAGGAAAAAGGACCCTGCACGGGCACGACCCTGATTCAGTTCCAGGGCTGCTATTTAGTAAAAGAAAGCAAACCACCACACAATCCATTTGTATTTCTGCTTTTATGTGATGCATTTTCAGTTGATGTGAGCTTAACATCTGAACTGTCACTGTGTGATGCTACCTGTCTTTTGCTGTCATCCACCTTGAGCATTGTTTTTTGTGGAAAGGTAAGTTATCAGTTTCATAAATGAATGGATAAATGGAGCCATGGATTTTGAGAGAGAGAGAGAGAGAGAGAGAGAGAGAGAGAGCGAGAGCGGGCTATTTTATTTTATTTCCTCCCCAGAGCAGCAAAGGTATAGCCACCAACGTCAATTCTGTCCTCACTGAAGACACAGACAGTTCATTAGAGAGAGAAGGATATGGTATGTTGCATTGTAAGGTGGTCAGGTTGTGCCTGCTGTTACCGCTACGGATTTGGAGGAAGTAGAAAGAGCAAGGTACCACATTTAAGGAACAGTTCTATGCATGTCCTTCAACTCCCAGCATTGCTGGACTCCAATCCCCATTCTCCCTGACCATTGATTAGATTGGTTGAGGTTCCTGGGAATTCAGATCCAACCATTTTTCGAGGGCTTCAACATTAGTAGATTTTGTAAATCTATCCAACATTAGTAGATTTTTATTGACCATGATTTCCCTGGTATAATCAGATGTAAGATTTATTTTGATTGATTTAATTTTTAAATGCAAGTATGTGTAAAAACTCCGTGGCTACAAAAGAGTAGCCCTTCTATCCAATGCAAAACCATGACTAAAATGGGACTTACTTAAAACTATTAATTCGATTTGCCCAAAGCTGGTTCCATAGAAATCTGGCGGGTTGTTCACCTCGCAGGTGTAGATGCCGGCATCCGAGGAGCGCAGATCGGTCAGCTGGATGGTGGCGATACCGAGTGTGGGGGGGTCTTGAAGCAGGTGGAGCCGTTTTGCCTGAGCGCCTGGTTTATACAGTGTATTGCTTGTGAAGTAGAGGATCTGTGGAGCAAAGGAGGGCCATGTGAGAGAAATGCAGCCCTGCCCAGGTGTCTGGGCACAAGGAGCACCCGAGAAGGATCCTTGCGGGTTGAATCACTGAATCAGCAGCTGCAAATTAAGATGCGGCTGCAGTCCCGAGCAGCCTTACTGGACAGGCAAAGCCACAGAAACGAGCACGATCTGTTTCTTGTATTTGCCTGGAGCAAGGCTCTGGAACACCCCGCACTGGCCTTGTCACAAATGAAGGGGAACGATCCCATCCACATCTTGCTCTTAGTCACCCAAGCAGTTGTAGAAACATAGAAACAGAGCGAGTCAGAAGAGGCCTCCTGGACCATCTAGTCGGACCCTGGCTCCAGCCAGCTCCGCTCACGACTTGCCTGCCATGTGTACCAGGAGGGCAATCCACTGACAGAGCACAGACCCGGGAAAAAGGCCAACCTTCTCCCTTGCAAATCCTAGGACTGCACCCTTAACTTTTCCTTCATCTTACCTTATTTCCTAGGTATGGGTCTGTTTAGACTGTAAGTCTCCAGGCATTGACTGCCTTCTTTTACTAATTACTTGCAAGCTGCTCCAGGGAACCTTTTGGTTGTGCAGTAGTTTAAAAATATTGGGTACGAAGTACAGGGGTAAATAAAAATTGTATTAAATATTGTTGAAATGAAAAAGATGTGCATGCAACCATTTACATGCTAAACCAGTGGTTTTCACACTCTCTGTAAAATGAGGGAGATTTTTTTTTAATTTTTCAAAATCTGCTTATTGGTATACTTTTTCAATCTTACACAGAAGTTCTGGCCTTAAAGGCAGCCTGGCAATTCCATTGCTATAGGCGGTGCTGGGAGAGGTGAGTGAAAAAAAGGGGCCGTTCCATAAGACTGCAGGTGTGTCTTCCTTCCCTATTCTCTTTTCCCCTTTTTGATTGTAAGCCTGTGGGCAGAGTATGTTTTATTTTACTGATTACCCATGAGCTTCTCCAGGAGACTTTTTAGCTGTGGAGTGAGATTAAAAACACTCCAAATCAAGCCAGTAAATAAATACATACCTTGATGGCCCCAGCAAGCCCGTCTGGGCATGTCCTTAAGTGTTCCCTTGAGAATGGCAATATCAACAGTGTTACTTTCGCTTTATTATGCCTCGTTCCCCCACGGCTCACTGGCTGTGTGATCTTCCATGAACATAAAACTTGCTAGGCATATTCTATAAATGCTGTTCAGAGGTGTATTCACAGGCAAGTGAGAATATGCTCTCAGCTGCACTGGTAAGAGTCTATCCCACATTGCATACCCCACAGAGAAATAGAGGGATTGAGAATGGAGGGAAGGATGGATAATATAGTGGAATTATCTCCTGGTAAGTGTACATTGGAATGCAGCCACAATGAAAAACAGTAAGTGTTCATCAAATGTGCCACACACCTGCAGGAAAAGATCAGAAGAGAATATACATGCCACAAATATCACAGCCAGCCAACCCCTTTCCCCAAAATTCTGTCTTTACCGACCAGCAGGAAGAGTTTAAGCGGGCATACACCCTCACCACAGAGTGCAGTTCACCCAATTACATACCAGTTCAAACATGCCAGTCAAACACATTAATTCGCGTTACGCAGGTTTATTAAATGCGGAAAAAACATTACTAATCTGAAGCCAGCCCTGATTTAAAGGCTGTGAATCTGTGGGTATGTCCCATTAAACTCAGAGGATCTTGTTTCAACAGGACATATGCCCATAAGGGTGGGTCTTCCTCCTTTGGCCGATACTGATGGGTTGGGTACCTGTGTCCACTTCCTGGTGAAACCAGGACAACGTCCTTCTTTCATTTCTTAACCAATCTGCCTATGCTTGAAGCACTGGCTCCAACTGGTGAAGCTTCCTAGTCTGGTCTGCCCACCAGCAGCTCTTGGCACCGGCTCTTCAGCTGCCCCAAAGCAGACCTCACGCCAAAGGCATAGCCAGCAGCCACACCATCACAAACCTTCCCCTGTAGCTTTGACCTGTGCTTCCTCCCTAGCGGAGGGGTCCCCAGCATGGCATCTCTGGGCGCTTACAGGCACCTCCAAAGTTGAGAAATGTTAGGGCTCATCCTCCTGCTCCCAAACCTTCTGCTGGCCAGTTCTTTAGTGATCAGGAAGAAAAAGCAAGGTAAAGGGGCAGAGGGGAGAGAAAGAGCAAGCCTAGAGACTAGAAGGGGGAAGAGAGATGAATGTTAGCAATGGAGAAGGGCAGGGCAGGGAATGGGTTTGCAGGAGAGCGTATTCTAAAGGCCTGGAGTGGAAAGAGAGAGCACAAAGGGCAAAGGTCTGTGTGGCCAGAAGAAGCCTCTTCCTCCATCTCCCCCTCCTTCCTAGCCACCAGCTTGCCCTGTCTATGCCCCCTGTCTCTTAACTAGCCAGGACCTCATAACAGCTACTGTGTGACAGGTCACAACCTCCATGAGAACCTTTCTGTGGAGTGCCCACTGCAGTTGAAGCAGTGGATCAAGCAGTGTGCCCTAGTAAGTATGTTTAGGATTGCAGTCTGGAGTAATTTCAGACAAACGTCAAGAGGAGAGTTGTTCCTTTTCCCTCCCACACACATTTTCCTCTTCAGATCTAAAAGTCTGAGATAATGAACCAAGACATTCTCTCTCATTGGCCTTCCTTGGGGACCACACGCCTCCCACACAGACCCCTCACCTGCTTCCCACCGTCGGGAGATGTTGAGCCAGGGGAAAACTTCCATTCCAGCATAAAAGCTTTGTCAACGGATGTTTGGTAATTACATGGCAGGGTCACATTTAACCCCTTCTTCTGCATCACCTGGCCATGAGGTACAGTCACGTCCACACATGCCCCAAGGCCTGCCAAGGAATGAAGAACAGGAGATTGCCTTGAATCATTGCTGCCTTCCTGTTTCTTGCATCAGGTACCAAAACCACCCTGCTTGGTTCCCATGTTGGGCATGTGTCCTCCAGTGCAGCTGAAAGGTCTTCCTTTGACATTCTGCATTTGCAAGGCCACCCAGGCTAAGTCTAGTTTAAAGATATCAAACCACCAGAAGGGATGGCCTGGGGGCTTTGCAGTTGCGCACCCAGTGTCCACACCTGGACTGGAGACTGAGGAGGCACACAGACCATCTGGTCTCAGTCACCTCCACTGAGGTGAGATGCACTGCCTTCCCGTCGAATTAAGGGAATCCTTCAAAATCTGCTTCCACACAAGCACATCTGACTAGGAAGGCCTGATGCAAATCTTTGCCTCTCTTTCCACACTTTTCCTGGCACTTCATTGCTTCCACTTCGGCAGTCTGGAAATGGCCACCCTGCTGCTGATGCGCCATTTCCATGGCTCTTCCAGTTTCCCTGCCCCTGCATGCTCCCTTCTGGATTCTCCCACCATGGCCAAAGATCTGCAACTTCCCACACCTTTGCAGAAATACCCAGCCCAGTTGGCTGGTATCCTATGGATCATGCAAAGGAAGCAGAACCAAAATAGCATCTGGTTGTGCCTCAAGGCTCTTACTGCCAGCCCTTAGGAGAGGCCAAGGAGTCTTCTCGTCAGGCCAGTTGCCCCACCAAATGACTGCCGATCAGGAGAAAGAGTGTGGATTTCAGGGAAGGGGTGTGACCATCTGGGGAACCCCAGAAAACTGTGCTGGGATCCAAGGTGGGCTAGAGTTGGCCTGCAACCTTGTGGCTCAACCTCTAGTAAGCTAACCCAAAGTTGCTTTAGACTGTTGAATTTCATAATGGATCTGTTTGATTTCACAATGAAATTATTAAAGCTTAACTGCAGCTCAAAGACTTGTGAGCAGTAGGCCTTCAACCTTCTTAGGTCTTCTGGCCTCACCACCACCACCTGCCGCTCGTTGTCAACTCCACACCACACTGCAAGCCCCCAGGGACACTGCCACCGCTGCTGCCATTGAGACAGCCCCACACCGGTCCCTCTGTTCACTGCTCCATCTCCTGGGAGCACCTGCGCACCTCCGGGCACCTGTGAGAGGATGCCGGGGCAGCTGCGTGGCGCTTGTGAGGGTGAGGTGGGGTGGGGCTGGAGCCTTCATCTTGCCAGTCATGGCCTAAGGCCAGTGGCCTAAGGGTGTATGCCATTTGGGCCCATTCGGGGCTGGTTGGGGCCAGGCTGGGGGCTCTGTTGGCTTACTGTAAGAAGTGTGGTTGTTATGCGTTTTTTGAGCCAGAGGCTTTTGCAAGTAGGCTCTATTTTTATCACACAGCATCCGCGTTTTCTTAGTTTTTACTTGTCAGTTTTAAATTGTCATGGGAGTTCCTGGGGAGCACGTCGGTGCCCGCATTGAGGTGGTTATGGGCAAGAGCAGGTATGAAGTTGGGGGTCTAACACATCCTTACAGAAGAAGGAGGGACAGATGGCTGGTATCTTCTGGTTTCTCTTCCAACCAGAAGGTTCCTGGCAGTAATCACAACTGGCCCTCAGGCTTGGTGCTACTGCTGTTGAATGCCAGGTCGGTCCAAAATAAAACATCACTCATTCACAATTTAATCATGAATGAGGGGGCTGACCTGGCACACACTACAGACATCTGGGTGAGAGAAGGGAAGGGCAAGTCCCTCACCCAGTTGTGCTTGCCAGGGTATCTGGTGAGGACCAACCCTGTCTTAAGGGAAGGGGAGGGGGTGTGGCCCTAATTTGTCAAGATTCAACCCCCCTCACAGGGCTCCCTGTCCCTTCAAGACCAGGTCTGGAGTGTTTGCACCTGGCGCTCAGTGATCGAGTCAGATCGAGTCTGCTGGTGTACCGTGCACCCTTCTGCCCATCAGACTCCCTGCCTGAGTTGACGGAGGTTGTCTCAGACTGGTGTTGAAGACTCCCAGGATGTTGGTCCTGGGGATTCAATTTCCACACTGAGACTGTTCTGACTGGGGCGGCTCAGGACTTCATGGCTGCCATGACAGCCATGGGGGTGTCTCAACATATCACTGGCCCAACGCATGAGAGAGGCCACACTCTAGACCTGGTTTTCTCAACGAGACAAGAAGATGGTGATCTAGAAATGAGGAATTTGACTCTAATCCCTTTGTCATGGTCAGATCACTTCCTTGTGAGGGTTGAAATTTGGGTCAGTTTCTCCCTCTGCAAGGGTACAGACCCTATTAAAATGGTCCACCCCTGAAGTCTTATGGATCCAGATGGTTTCCCAAGGACTCTGGGAGATTTCTGATTGATAAAGCTGGTGCTTCTATTCATACCCTGGTTGATTTGCAGAAATAGGGAAATGACCAGGGCAATTGTCACGATCACTCCTAAGCATCCTCTCCTGTCATGGGGAGCCTGCTCAGCATCATGGTATACGCCCGAGCTGCAGGCAATGAAGCAGACTGGGAGACGACTAGAGTGTAAGTGGAGGAAATTCCAGGCTGAATCTTACCAGTCGCAACCTAGAGCTCATTATCGAGCCCATGCTGTGGCAGTAAGGGTGACAAAGAAGGAATTCTTCTCCACTTCCATGGCATCCTCACAGTGCCATCCAGCTGAGCTTTTTTGGGTGGTGCATGGCCTATTACATTGTGTTTAGTGTACCACCAGCGTACGGTAATTTGATTCTCTATTCATGTATAAACTAGCTATATGGATTTCATTACCATTTCAACATTTTCCCTGGAGTGAAGAGCTGAAGAGACACACACCTGTTCTCTGCCACCAGCCAGGAGAGAGCAAGGCTATGTGGAGGCTGCCTCTCAGGAAGACCGGCATGGCGAGGGCTACCATCCCTCAGCTGCAGAAAGAGATGCTTCTCACCCACTTGCTTCCTCTTCCCTTCACTTCTGAATTTACCGTGCGGTTTTCAGATGGTGAGCCCGGGACAAGGACAGTGCTGGCTCTAGGTCTGAGGAGGCCCTTGGGCAAGACAACCTCCCTGGGCCCTGTCCTCTGCTTTCTCACTTCCCTTGGCACACCTGCTCTCACTCCTCTTCCTCTTCTTGCCTGCTCACAGGCTTGCCAGACAGAGATTGCCAGGGAGCAAGAAGGAAGTGGTGTTCATGACTCTCTGTTTTGATCACTGCCAAGACCTGGGTCAGAACAAGAGGCGGGTTGTAGTGGCCCAGAGGTGGGCCTCCAGAGAGCTCCTGCTAGTGGGACGCTGCTGAGGTCTGGGTCCCTGCAATGTGCCCAACCAGGTCTATGCTGGGCAGGGACTGCCTAATTTTTAGCACAGGCACAGGCACAGAAAAGACCTGGCATGTTGCATTCACGATCATGATTTAACCCTTGTGAATCATAATTTTGCAAATCAAAAATACTCACCAAAAAGTGAGATGAACAGCGGCAAACCGGGGAGTGGAAAGATCAGAAGGACCACCTTGAAGGTCATTGTTGTAGAGGGAAGGTGTTGTGTCTACTGCAAGAGCGGAAACACGGCTGAAACCCAGCAGGGCTGTTCTTTATCTTTTACATGAGCCAAAGCAAACAGTTGTACAGCAGCTCTCAGTCACATGGTAGCAGAAGCCTCCTTTGATGTGAAGGGACAACCCAGTACTTCCTGCAAGCTCCTGTTCAAGCAGGTCATCCCTTCTTAAAACCAGAAATGCTCAATGAACATGAGCAAAGGGTTGGAACAACTCCCCTGTGAGGAAGGGTTCTGGCATCTGGGATGGTTTTGGTTGGAGAAAAGGTGAGCAAGGAAAGGTGTGATAGAGGAGCACAGCATGGTGTGGACAATGGGGAGAAAGAAACATTTTGCTCCTCCACCCCCGTAGTATTAGCACCTGGGCCCATTCACTGAAGCTGATTGATGAGCGATTCATGCCAGATAAAAGGCAGGACTTCTTTGTAAAATGCATTGTTAAACTATGAAATTCACTTCCACAAGATGTAGCAACGGCCACCAGTTTGGAGGGCTTTCAAAGAGGCTTGGAGAAGGCGATTAATGGCCGCTAGTCCTGATGGCCATGTGTGGCAGAGGCGATGCGGCACGCACGCCAGCCCCTGGCCTTGGGCGGGAGGACGCTGGGGCGCTCCTGTCCCTTCGTGGGTTTCCTGTGGGCAGGCAGTTGGCCATTGTGTGAAGAGGACGCTGGACCTGGCAGACCCGGGTCTGGCCTGGCACAGCGCTTCTCGTGCTGTTATGTTCTTATCTGCCAACCACTCATTTCTTGCTCTTCTTTTAAGGACCTAATACAAACAGTGCTGTTTTCCAAGCCTTTTTTTGAAATGCAGCCTTGTTACATTTGATTGCCAATAGTGCATGTCTTTGGAATTTAATTTGCAGTATGCATGTGCACGTGTTTAGGATAATTGTTGTTTGGGTGCATTTTATGTGGATTCTTTAATTATTATTTTTTAAATAGAAAATTGTCCTGCAAAGGTGTAGGTGGAAAAGAAGGGCAAATAATGTTTCCTTTCTCCTTTTCCTTCTCCTTCTTCTTCTCCTTCTCTTTCCTTTTGAAGAAAGAGAAATCCTGCTATTACTCAACTACCCTCAATATTTCTGCTGAATTCCACATGCATGAAAATATACCTTTGAACTATAGATAAAAATAAAAGGCTGAGACTTGACTAGGTATGTGTGAGGACTAGGGGGTAGAAGGAGACAGAAGGATTTATTTTAGACATCTTTGCTCCTACCTGCAGTCCAAGTAGTTCCTCAAAGGTGTATGGAAAAGTTCACTAAAAAAACTATTTGGAAATAAAAACAATGCCCCCGAGACAAAGAACAGGCCAGTGAAAACACACAGGTCTTTAGAGTGCAACTGTGTTATTAAAAACTCGCAAAGAAGGGGGCTGAAAACCCCAATGAAAGCTCATTCCAGAGCTGCGGGGCCACCACCAAAGAGGCCATCTCCCTAATACTCACCAGCCTGGGCTGTGGGCAAGTGAGAAGGGCCTCTGCAAGTGGCCTCAGAGGGTGGGGGCACCGATACAGGCAAAGGCAGCCCTTCAGATAACTTGTGGCCCTCCTGTTTAAGGGTGAGAAGGTCACAACCACACTTAAAACAGGGCTTAGAAACACTGACAACCAGTCCAGTGGGCATCTCATGATCTGACCATCCAGCCCCCGCTGCTGTCCCGGTGGTCATTCACACCACACAATGGCACTCCACATGCTGCCAGCTTGGAGTATGAAGGACTCTGGGACAGTCTGCCCTCTCCAGGCATGGTGAGGTCCGGCATGCCACCCTGAGCTGGTAAAAAGCGCTGCTGCCGCCTCAGCTTCCTCAGAGAGACAGAGCCCAGGTGTGTCCCCAGCTCTGCACTTGGTCCCTGAGAGGAAACGCAAAGCATCCAAGAGCAGAGGTTTTCCGGTGCCCAATGCACAGGGCCTCCATCTGTTGGGGACCTTGCTTCCAGCTAGCTTGTCAGGATGCTGTGTTCCAAGACTGCTCCCAGACACCGGTCCAAGCAGCGTGCATTGGCTCATTGGAGGCAGCACTGAGTGCCATCTACATATTGCTGGCATGTCAACTTAAGCTCAGTGACGGATCCATGCCAATAGAGGAGAACGTGGGGGAGGGGGGAGAATTTATAATGCAAATGAGCATTCTGGCTGAAATTAGCTTTCACAGTCACAATACAGAGTTAAGCAAAACAAAATACATAAATGCTTTAAGGCTTGTGTGCAAACCTCTTTAGTGTTCATTTATTAAACTGAAGAATTCAGTTGCATGGACTCATCTTAAAAAGCTAGGTGTTCAACTCCTTCAAATATATTTAGGCTTAGTGGATTGACTGAGATGACTTTTGCTTCAGCTAGTTTTGATAAGAAGTCACAAAAAGTTGCAAAGTTTTCTGTTCAGGACAAAAATAACTTGAGAGAGATATATAGAGAAATTAAGAAATGTGGAAGTATCCAAAACTGTCAGTTTTGTCCATCTGGGCACACATCTTTGAGTGTGCTTATTTTTAAACCTCTGTGTCTGAATTTCTGTGATTTTCAGCTATGTTTGTGGTGCTGAATTAGAGCTTCCACCTCCTTATTTCTGACTGAAACTTCATTTTTACCTGCTACATGGGAAGCAGGTGCATCATGCTCTTCTCCAGGTAGCTGCATCTATTGCCTCTGGCTGGTGCAACTGAGTGAGAATTTCAACTGAGTTCATTTTTTATAAGAATGTATCAAAATTAGCAAGGTTCTTTGCATTCAGAATGGAGAAATCTTGAATTTTAAAAGGTCTGAATGTGGATAAGAAACTGGCAGATTTGCACATCTCTGGACTGGTTGTACAGATATGTATCTAGGATTTTTTTCTTTTAAAGAAAAAGACTTGTGTTTATTCCCACTGCAAAGGAAATCAAACCTTACTGGGTGATTAATTATTAACTAGGCTGCCAAAAGAAGCAAGGAGCACCAACTGGATCCCCACCAGAACAAACAGTGATAAGTCGACTTAGGTGACTAAGGTGTCGGCTTAGAACACCTTTATTAAGTGGTTCTAGCCTCAGTTCCCATGGGGCTAAATTAGGGGGCCAGCCAAAGCCCCTCATTCTTGATGCCTCTGATACCAGAGGCTTCCACACATCTGATGCATGGAATGAGGTGCAGTGGTGGCAGTCGGTGTCCCATCTTGGCAGCTTTTCTGATTTCTGCCCCTCCTCCCCATGTGCCCCTCTATCTTCTCTCCAAGGTCTTTTCATGCTTAGTGGGACCCCTGGCTTTAGATGCAAAAGACCTCAGAGGTAGGAGTCCAAATCATTCTATGTTCTCCCCCCAGGGGGTGTAGGATTGTATCTATAGCTGCACAGTTCTCATTGAAAGCAAAGCCATGATTAAGCTATTCCACTGACTTCAAGGGGACCTAGCGCCATCAGCTTGGTCTAGAGAGAAGCCAGGCTCTTCCACCCAGAACCCAAGAAATGACTTGGGCAACGGATGTAAAGGCAAAGCTGTCATGGACTGCAGGTGTGATGGTGCCATTTGCCCCAGCCTTGGACTAATTGATTTGTCCCTCCCTGATCTAACAAATGAATGAGGCACTAACAAGGCTTTCAAGTTTGCTGTTGCTTGTGGCAGATTATCATGGCAGAAGTCAGAAAATGACTGAGGGAACCGATTATAGGCTGGGTTTTATTGCATGCCAGCTGCTGAAATGGCATGTATTTAATCAGTATTCCTTGTATTTGTAGGCAAGCTCGTATTCCTGATTAAAGTGGAAGGTTGCACTTCAGCTGGCTGGGGCCTTTTGCTCAGCCTCACTGTGTTTTACAAACACCTTGCAGGCTCCTCTCTGGTGCTTACGATTTGAGACATGCAGGATCAGAACAAAGGGGATGAACAAAATTTGTGGGGATGATCCTCCCTCCAGCCAATCACGGGCTGCATGATGTCAGGGGCTGGGGCCAGGTAGCCACATGTCGAGCAGCAGGGCCACACTCCACCGGATGTCACTTGGTCCCAGCCGCTGCGCTGGGTGGATGGTCCCTGCCCAAAGGGTCAAGGATGATGGGATGTAGTGCAAAAGGTTGGCTGGTACCAGGTTGAGGAAGGTGGACCTAGGCTGCAGAACACTGCTGAGAGATCCAGCACAGAGGCAGAAGTTGCTGGAAAGGCTCAGTCAGTACATGGAAAGGAAAGCAAGAAAGACCAGGCTCTCCAAGCCAGAGTCCTGGGGCACCACGGACACCACTTTGGCATGGCCTGACTGCCATTCTATCCTGGAAGAAAGCTTATAAAACACATGCACTGGGATACTGTGATCCTCCAGATCACCACGTGTGGTGTGGACAGCTAAGGCTGATAGGAAGGAAATGGATGCATTCGAAACTTGGTGTGGAGGAGAGCTTTGTGAATAATCTGGACTGACAGAAAGTCAAACCAGAACTTGCCCCAGAAGTAAAAATGAGGCTTTGGCACATGATGAGGAGGCAAAATTCCTTGGAGAAGACAATTATGCTAGGGAAAGTTGAAGGCTCCGAATTTACAAGAGATGAGCAAGGCTTTCATACAGAGGGCATCTTGAGAGCTTTCATACACAGAGTCGCCATCAGTTGGAGATGAAGCGATGCCACCGAACAACAAAAATGCTGATATTGACGTACTGTGAGCTGTCTCTGTATTCTACCCCTTTAGGCACGAGGATGGGAAGTGACCAGAAACAAGGGGCTTTTGTAGTGGCACTCAGGCTGTGATAAGTCCTCCTCCAACACATTTGTTTGTGCCATCTTTAGTTTCTCTCAGGGACTAGGTGAAATTTGCTTTAAAGAAATCCTTCAATGGGTTTAACTACACTCTTCTTTCTGAATGCCTTTAACATCTGAGGCTAGTAATTTCAGGAAAAGGTGGCTGTAGAAACCCACCCTGTCAAACAGCAATGGCTTGGAATACATCTGACAATATACACAATTTGCCACTTGCAGGCAGATGCTTCTTCGTTCATTGAATTGGTTTTTATCTGTTCAGTACTGCATTTTTTTTTTAAAAATCCATATCATATTTTAATCTGGTTTTGATCTTCATTTAGAAATGGTCTTTAATTTTTGCAAGTCATTTGAATTCCAGTTCAATGGAAAGGCAAGATAAAGTTGCTGCACCCAAGAAAAGCACACATTTTTCTATGGCTTTTTAAATATAAAAACAAATATTTTAATGAACATTTATGAAAAATAATACAGTTTGAAACTGTACATAAAATATTTCAGTGTCTTCCTACCTTCTTATGCAACAGAAGGATCTGATTGCCAATAAAAAAAATAGCCAGCATGAAAATGGTTGAAGGACTCTAGTCCAGATTCACAGACCTGTTAATACCTATATGTATAAATTATGTAGTGCGTGTGTGTGTGTGTGTGTGTGTGTGTGTATCAAAAAGAAAAAAGAAACAAAATATTGAAAATTGTTCATTGAATAAACATAATAATTGCACAATATGTATTAAAATGCTGAAGGCGCCATGAAAGAATCCATGGTTAGGATATTCTGATAAAAGGTTACTCTACAATGTTACATACAAGTTAGATGCACAAGCTGGGGCTATCTTGTTAAGATGCAAAGATTTGGTTAAGCACCATGGCAGCATCCAGCCTTAACCCCTGGATCTTGGAAAGCTGTTTGGGTGCCGTTCCTGCGCAGGTCACAAAGGGGCAGAAGACACAAGCCAGACAAAACATCTCCATTCTCAGAGCCCAAATCAGGTGCAGGATTTGAAACCGGAGCATAAAGGTTTAAATCATGGTGGGATTTTTTAAGGGGAGTGGGAGGCAGAAAAGGCTCAGTGGCACAAGGGGCCTTGGACAAAGTCTTCACAACAAAACAAGAAAGGTTGCCGTGTGGGCCCCATGCATCTTCAAACCCAGCTAGAAATCGCTTTAACAATCTTTGCAATTATTGAACAGTCATGGACACGACCCGGCTGTTGCCAGCGGTTTGGACACTGGACCTAGCGGTCTACTTGCAGTGCATTCCGGGACAAGTCTACTCAAAAGCAAGTCCCATTGTCTTTCCACCAAGGACTGAGAGGATTGTGGTCTTTGGTCACCAAAGGTGCAGAGATATTGAAGACTTTTCTTGAAACATAGGAAGCTGCCTTGTACTAGAAGGGACAAGTTGTCCATCTAGTGCAGTCCTGTCTACCTCGAAGCCCTAAATGCTGCCATTGGTGAAACAAGAGCACTGTCCACCCACCTGGAGATAGCACTAAAGACTGAATCTGAGACCTTTGACACACAAACCCCGCACTCCTCTAACGAGCCATGGTCCCTTCTCATCAGACTTCAGACCAAGGGTGCATCCAGTCCAGCATCTGGTGGCCAAGCAGCTGCCATGGGAAGCCCACCAAGGGACATGAATGTAGCAGCCACACCCCCTCCCCCATGTTCCTGAGCAACTAGTGGCCTTTGACAAAGGCCAGGTGCTTGCACAGGGCGTACATAATCATAGCAACTTTGGCCGACCCCCCGGCCGCGCTGCGCCCTGCCCCCAGGTAAATCTCTCCACTTTCAGGGGTTGACACCACGGACTCTCCGGAGGTGGTGCAGTCAGGGGGGAAATTCCCCTCAGCACTGAGCCTGGACAACCTCCTTTCCCAGGAGCCCCAGCACACAAGCGGCCCTCTGCCATCATCTCCCCATCTGGGAAGTTGCACGGCCATCCTCAGGCTCCAGGCTGGACTGGATGGCGCTTGCTCTCCACAATGCTGTTAGATGCCAACACGGCCAGGGCCCCTTTAATGCAAGAAGTTTCTCTCCAAGAAAGTGGCAATGGTTCGCAGACTGAGCTGCATCCTTACCGAAGTCTAGGACTAGCTGGGTTCATCTGCTGTGGAAGCATCTGTTAAGTCTGCCTCTGCGAAGGGCTTGCCTGAGTTCTACTTGGAGGTCTTGTAAAGCTAACCCTCAGTTTGAGCCTTCACTCCTGACTGTGAGCACAGCCTGGAACAGAACACCCTGCCATTGCTTTCTAGTGGTGCATGACCAATACCAGCCGAACAGGAACTGGTGTTTCACCCAGGCACGGTGGGGAATATGGGTGCTGCTCCTGAGCTTTCAGTGTAGTAATAGCAGAATGGGTGGCTGCCAGATGGTTGTTCTCTGTTCAACAACCACAAACTAAATGCGTCCAGTTGTGTTGGATACCCCTGCGATTCTCCCCAGCCAAATCTTGAGGCAGGCAGTCCAACATATCTGGAAGCTGCCAAGTTGAGGAAGGTTGCTCAGTAGGGTTTGTGCTAACCTGTGGGGCAAGAAACCTTCCAGTTACAGACGAGTGTCCAAACCCTTCATTTTGATGGGCTTGCAAAAGTAGACTCTTTCCCACCACTGCTTCATGTAAGCTAAACCTGTGTGTATGAAACAGAGTTGGAGTTCAAAAATGAGAATTAGCATTCCTTGATTTAGCGTCTCTTTCCCATGATGAATTTGAGCTGTCCCGATGAAAAACTGTTTCTTAACATCTCATGGAAAAACTCAGCATATGAGTCTGTTGTGCTCTCATCTGGTAGCTGGCTGACTTCTCTCCATCTGATCCTACATAGCAGACTGTACTGAGCTGTGCCTACCCCTGAGTTATGTTGTCCCAGGATACAGACAGTTTTGCTCCTGCAAAAGCTATTTAAGAACAGAAGCGGCACTGCAGAATCTCTGCACCAAGGGTAATCCCAATTTTGCAGTCAAGAAAGAGCAGCATACATTATGCCAATTAGGCTGATCTGCATCTATTCCCTTCATTCTACGTCATTCACTTTGCTCCTGCCAGTCGTGGGCAAGGGACAGTAAGTCAAGGAGGGCACTGAAGCGCCATCTGCTCCTCTCTGGAAATTCTACTGAACCTTCTCTGACCTTTGCAAATTCCACAGGCAGCGCTCACTTGGTTTAATGGCCTAGACCAGGACTGACCAACCTGTGGTCCAGGAGCTGCAGGCTACCCTCAGACTAATTCCATGGAGCCCTTAGCCTAAGTTCAAAACTCCTCTATAAGCAATCAGTTCAGACCTTTCTTTCTCCCCTGGCAGCCTGCTGGGTAGAAAGAGAGACAAGCAGGGCTGGGGAGAGATGAGAGATGAGGGTGCCAGCAACAATGGCTGGTGCCTCCAGTGTCCTTCGAGGCCAGTGTCTCCACTCTGGATTTCCCTCTGAATATTAAAGGAGCAATCCATGGCACTGAAGCTTTATTTTTTTGGCCTGCGGGTCAGCACCATGGATAGCTCCTGAGAAGTTTAGACTGCAGCCCAGTGGAAGCTGGAGCCCCTGGCGCCCTCTGGATGGGGGCAGAAAGTGGAAGATGGGGGCAGAGAGAGAGGAAGATCAAGAAAAGGGGGTGGAAAGTGGGAAAGAGAGGGAAAGTCTCTGGCAAGTCACTCCCAAGGGAATGCTTCCATCCCGTGGTCTAGAAATCCATTTGTTTGTTTGTTTTTAAATGAGTGTTGAGAAATGGCAGCTGCTTTGCAGTTGTACAGATCCATGGAGTGCCCTGCCTTTGCCTTCTCCTCCTGAGCACCTGGAGTCATCTTGGACAGGGGGCGTCAGGGGTCCATCCTACTCTGCCAGCAGGTCTCGGATCTCCCCCCTCACACATTCTACTAAGCAAAGATAGCCACTCCCAGCCCAGCTTTTTCTAAAACTAAATAAAAAGGTCAGGGAAGCGGGACAAATGACACCTCCGAAAAAGAAAAGGACAGAAGAGAGATCTGCTGGTATTTGTTCAATGAAACTCCGCCTCTGAGGCTTCCCAAGTCCACGGGCTGGACTTGTGCACTGCGCGGAAGAGCAAATCCCGAACAAGCTTCTCCGGTTACAAACGTCTCTGAAGCCCCCGTGGAGTCCCGTTTATGGCAATGCAATGGGAAGGGTTCCTTTGTCGGCATACCACAAAACGCACGCTGGCACTCTGAAGGCAGGCAAGCAGGCAGGCAGCGCTGAACAAGGCTTTCCAGGCTCTGCTTCACTCAGGTTTGGGAGAACAACTTGCCCCATGGAGAGTCATGAGAACCAGCACACTTTTACACCAACGATCCAGCTTGGCTCTGGGCGGGCACCATGACAGGCACTGCCCCCATCCGGGCAAGAGTGGAGGAGGTGAGCCCTTGAGGGGCGGGGGGGTCTGGCTGCCGGGGGGCCTGGGGCTGAGCCCCATTTGTCCTGTGGAGGGTGTTCCTATGGGCTGGCACGTTGGCATGGTGGCAATAGACCCCATTGACCACGGGTGGGAAGTAGAGGGGCAAAGACTGGCTGGAGAGGCTGGGGGTGGGAGTGAGCGTTCCACTCCGGGGGTTGTTGAAGGGGGGCTTGAAGCCCACCGTGCTGCCGGTGGCAGTGGTGATGGAAGCCGTGTCCGAGGCGGGCTTGGCCAGGTACAGTTTGTGGTCTTGGGTCGTGTTCATCGACGACAAAGTGCCATTCTTGGAGACTGCATCTGAAGCAGGACCTTTTGCCCAGGAGAGTGTCTTTGGAGCCACAGCATCTTCCCTGCAGGAGGCGATAAGGAAGAGGGAGAGGATGAGTCCGGATGGACAAATCCATTGATTCCCAGCCTGACACACCCTGGTGTTCTGACCCTCCATTTCGTTCCACTAGCCCATGTGAGACAGAGATGTAGAGAGGTGGTGGTGGTGGAGATCTCCTTTCAAAATGCACATTTAAATATATTTACATTTTTATTTCCTTTTAAAATCTGCATTTAAAAGGTTCATGCTTGCACAAAATAGCCCCCTAAGTACATTTTGGAGTGTGGTTAAATTGCCCAAAACTCCTTTGGAAGAGAAAGGAGTGAATACTAGGTTACTCTAAAGAGAGCCCTGCAGGATCAGAGCAAAGGTGTATATGGCCCAGCAGATGACCCTGGGAAGACCACTAGCCAGGCATTAGGAGAAGAGCATAATCCTGCTCATCCGCTCCAAGAACTGTTTCTCTGAGGAATACTGCTGCTGTTCCGAGACACAGCAGGTAGCCATCATGACTAGTAGCCACAATAGCCCTTTCATCCTTGGATTTGTCTGCTCCCCTGTAAATGCTTAAAGGTCACTTGCCTTCCTAGAATTCATTGCAAGCTGTCTCCCCAGTGCTGCTTCTGCCTTAAAATGTTCCATGCTCTGGGCATAATAGCAAGCTTTTTCAGGCACCTTTGAATATTGTATGGGTTGGGACATCTAAATCCCTTTCCTTTAGTCCCCTTTCAAGCCGGCACTACATCTGGTGGTAGTGAGCTCCACGGTCTGAAGAAGGCCTGTGTGGAGAAGCACTCGGCAGCTTCCTTGGATGACTGTTGTGCCATGAGGCAGAGGGAGAGATGTGTCTTGTTCACTTTTGAAGGTACTTCACACCATGCACAGCTTGATGCACCTCTATCCTATCCTTTGCACACAACTATTTCTAATCTAATAAGCCCCAAACACTGTAGCCTTTCCTCATGGGAGTTACTTCAGTCTCTGGACCATTTCAGTAGTCTTGTTCTGCAGAAGTACCAGATCCTTTCGGGAGTGGCGTGAGCAGAATTGCAGAAGGCATCCTAAGAGCTCTGACCCACAGATTAGCCTGCATATGGGACTTCCCAAAAAGCAAAAATCTCAAGCAGCCATAGAGGAAAACAGAGCTTGAAAACAGGGTTTTCATCCACTTTCTCTGCTCATGTGTCTGGAGAAGAGCGGGGAAAGAAGGCTTTCTCCCCAGATGTAAACCTGCATTGGAACCAAACTTCGGTTCTCATGTAGATGCAAAATTTATGGGTACGCCTAGATCCAACGTCACATTTAATTATCCCACGAGGCATGAGGTAAAAACACACAACACTATCATGTCCTCCAGTTTTGGCCCGTTATGGAAGATCATCTTCTAACCTTGAAGATGCCAAGATTATTCATAGCTATTTTGATGATGGAAAGACACTTCACACATACTCAAAAGCCTTTGTTATTTTTATATACTTCAGGGCTTTGCTATTTGTATACACTTCAGGACTGAGCATTCAGACCTGGGAACTGGACCACCATCCCTGATTTTTTGAAAGATCCCCTCCCCTCACGTTGAAAATAATCCTCTTGCCCAATTCCTTGGATACCTCAGCCTAACACTTTCCCTTAGATTAGAGGCAAACAAATGCCATCCAGATGTCATTGGATCCCGTCACCTGTCATTCCACATCCAGCATGACCTGTGGTGAGGGATTCTGGGAGTTGTAAGCAAAACATCTGGAGGCTGCCAGGTTGCCTGGCCCTGTCTTAGAGTGGAATGGGGGGCCCTGTCTGGATGTTGTCAGGTTCTCATCCACCCATCGCCTTTGACTGATTGCCACACTAACGGGGGCAGATGGGAATGGGAAGTCCAGAAACACCTGGAAGATCGGGGCCCAGTTGTTCAGGGTGAATAGTGATTCTCACTTGATCTCGTTGGCCATTTCCTCTTGGCTGTCTTTCTTTTTCTTTCTGTAGACCAACATCTGAAGCGCAAACAAGATGACCAGGCCAATTCCAATGAGGGTTCCTACCACAGCACCAGCCACCACTGCTGCATTGAATGCTGCAAAAGGAGCCAAAACAGGGAGAAAACAATGTTGAGTGTGTGCCGTGGGATCCTGCAACCAGAGCAGTCATTCAATCGCCCTGTCCCAGCACTGCCCACTCAGAGGGGCCACGCTCATCCAGAGACCCACAGTAACCAAGAGCTGAATAGGTATTTATTTGTGCATCATATTAAAATATACAGCTTTTTCCGGTTGTCAAAGCAGTTATCAAGCCAATAATAAATTAAAACATTCAGAAAAAAACAACGTCAGTAACATCTAACTATCAAACTAGAGAAAGGCTTAACCAAAAGTCAACTTAAAAAGAAAAGAGTGTTCCAAGTTTTATGGAAATGAGACAAAACAGCCACTTTTGTAACCCTGGGTAGGTAGGATGCTCCGCAGCATCAGAGTGGCCACTGGTAAAAGCTTGATTCAGAGGTGATACTGTTCTTCTTACTGGGCGGAAAGATGGCAGAGGCAAAATTGCCTGCTACCTTGACCTCACCTGCTGAATGGGTTCCGATGGGCACAGATGGCTCTTCAGGTATGGGATGCCCAGACCCCCAAACTGGACTGGAAAGCAAATTGGGAGCCACTGTGACAAGTGCAATGCTGGCCACATACAGCCGCACCATCCAACGGAAGGTGCATGGCAGTGCTCAGCTGAAGCTTCCTTTTTGTCTTCAAGTACAGCCCCAGGTAGAGAGCACGGTAGCAATCAAGCCTAGGAGATACTGAAGCACTGTAGCAAAGTCTGATCTGTCCAGAAAAGGAAGAAGCCTCCAAATTTGTTAAATATATGCAGTTATTGTCTTAGTTTTGTGCTCCAAAGCCTGCTTAAATTTCTGAACTGCTTCTCAGAAAGCAGCACCAGAGCTAGAAGCAGAGCAGTCTCTTGTTATGTTAACCTATGTGACCTGGCTCCACTGAAAAGCACTGCATCTAAGTTGGCAATGGGTGGCGACCGATGATTAAGCTACAATGGCTCATTCCTCCAGGCAAGTTATTGCCCAGTATGGCAGGGGTTTGGCTGGATTTAGATTTAGTTATGGCTGCAGTGGACCGCCTGGTGGTCCCAAGAGGGCACTCACGTGGATTCACCTCCAGGGTGATGGTGCAGTTGGAATAGCCGGCTTTGCTGGTGGCGTTGCAGAAGTAGGTTCCAGACATACCTGTGGTGAGATTCGTTAGCCTGAGGGTCCCCTTCACAAAATCTGTAAACGAGCAAATACATGAACAACAAAGGCTCTCATCTCAGCTCGGATCCAGCCTTTTCACCCAAGCAGAAGAGAAGAAAGTTCTCAGCAGCTGTTTGCTCCGATGCTACTTTCAACATCAGAGGCAGCATGCTGAGGGTGGGGAACCTGGGCAGCACTTGGGTCCCACATGCAGGGGTTCCCTTGGGCAGCTGGTTGGCTGCTGTGTGGACAGAACCCTGGTCTAGGTGGACCTTGGCCGATCCAGCAGGACTCTTCTCATGCTCTTATGCCATTGTCAGGAACACAGAGCACGTTTGCTCAGCCATGGTTTAGTCTGGCATGAGTGAGCTGCAGTGAGCCTTAGATAAGCTTCCTTGCCTAGTTAATGTCTTCATGCTGCGCAGCTGAGAGAACAAGCTTGGAAGCCTCCAGTTCTGCTTCCAGTTAACCACAGATTCCTCTGTCCTTTGAACTGGGATCAGTGGTAATACCACCTGTGATTCCTTTCGACAAGCCAGCTTCAGAAGCCATGGTTTGAAGTTGGCTTGCTTGAAGGCATCCATTGTGAAATGCCTTATGTTACAACAGACTGTGGTTAAGGAGGAGAGGACAGGGTTCCCGTGGCTTCTTCTTGTTTGTGCAAATAGTGCCATGCCATGGTTTTAATCAGTTTGAGATCCACTGGTGGCCCATTAGATCTCCTTACCTTTTTCTGCCCCATAATTGTTCTTGCAGTGAGGAACCAGGGATTTCTGTTACATCTAAACTGAGAGCAAGCATGGTGCAGACGTTGGACTGGGATCCAGGCGATGGAGGTTCAAGGTCCTACTTGTCCACAAAGCTCACTGGCCGACTTCCTAGGATCTCAGGTCCCAGGCTAACACTAACCTCCCTGCCACCGACTGAGGCCGAAGCGACTGCCCAGCAGTGGTAGCAGTTTCCTTGCCTGCTAACCTTGCCTACCTTGCGCAGGTGGGAAGAAGAACTCAGAGCTGGGTCCCGTGCGTTGCCAGTGGTACATTGGGCTGGGCTTGCCCAAAGCTGAACGGCAGGTCATGGTGATATTTCCCCCAACAAGGGGGCTTCCCTGTACTTGACACTTTGGTGGTGATGGCGGGACTGCAAAACAAAGAGTAAAGAAAGAGTGAAACAAAGAAAACTACTAAATCAAATGACTCATAGTTCCCGTTGGAGCACATTACAAAGTAATTTTCAAAAATAGCAGTGCCATCTTGTGGCCAGAAACAAATCCAGTGCATGTTCTCCAAAAGGTTGGCAAATTATAAATGCACTCTTTTAAAAAAATCCCATTTTCACACTATTCAGTGGGGGAGATGCACACTTTCCTCATTGAAACTGCAGTTGTCCCAATTCAAACAATGTGTGTGTGTGGGGGGGGGGGGGCACAGGAGTTGCAAATGAGAAGCTTTGAAGTGAGGATGGGAGAATTTTGAAGAGCTCAAGAAACCCATTTCTCCCATCTCCAGCCCACATCAGCACCAACCCTGGAAATCCTGAATGGTTTTGAGCTGTCATGCCATATTGCATTAGACCCTAGACCAGGGGTACAGAACCACATCCAGTTCTGGCTCAGAGCAGTTTTCCAGGTGTTCCTCTTTCTCCAAACCACCCATCATTTGGCGTCTTCCCAATCTTTGGACAAAGGACAAAAGTCTGACCTGAGGCTTAGTTCCTGGCGGTTCGTAGCTTCAAGATAATATATGAAGGTAGGTTTTGGTATTCTGGCCTTGCCCCTACTTCTGGTCTTACCTCCCACTGCAATGTGGCTCTCAAGAGCTTTCCCAGATGGAATTTGGCCTCAATCAGAAAGAGGTTGTCCATCTGTGCTGTAGACCATGCTTCACTCCCTGGACAGGCATGGGAGAAGCACTGCTGTGAGCAGCCAGATGTCCCTCTCCTGGCCACAGGACCACATGCCCAAGTCTCTGGAATGAAACACTACATTTTCTGCTTGCATTTTGGTTTCTGCCCTTACAGATGTCTAGACACGGCAGCAGGGGCATGGGCCACATGAAGGAAAGCAGAAGCCTTCTGGGAGACACCTTGCGGGCAGCACTCTTATGTTTGCCCTGCTACCAGGAAAGTTTCTGAGCAGGGGAAGTGGGTGTTTTCAGTGAGGAGTTCTTCTCCATCACAGAATACAACCAGGGCTCTAAAGAAACCCTTGGAGCAAAGACAAGCGGCAAGAGCTATTGGCGTTCAGGTTCTCCGCCTGGAAATGACCGACATGTTTGTGCATTCAGTCTGATGATTCTACACTAATTAGGATGAAGGCAAAGGTGTTGGGAGGGTTTGGTTTTAACTCAAGTTAGAGGAAATTACCATGAAGCACCACAATTTTCCTTACAGAGCAGAGAAAACACGGGCCCAGCTCTTGTGCATATTTATGGTACATGCTTGTGATGTGGGAAATCTGGGAAGTCGTCCTGTTGAGCTGAAAGCAGGCTTGTAAAGAGTTACTTCCTGCATCACTTCAGGTGTTCAAGCCCCCGCACAAAGCCCACGGCTCTTCAAACCAGGAGGAAACCAAAGCTCAATTTACCATGAACAGTAAGGTTGACTAGTCCGATATTTCTCCCCATGCTGTCATCTGGAATGTTAACTGTGCACATGTACTGGCCAGCGTCTGTTTCTTTGGTGTTATTAATGGCAAGCGAGACGTTGTGAGAAGGCATGGAGTACAAAAAGCCAAGACGCCCCTTGAGATTCTGATCTGACACTTGTGTTGTTCCGCTCATATATGCCATGATCTGCAAGACAGATGAAAGAATTTAAATTCCCCCTGCTGGAAGGACCCTACACGGGATGCAAAAATTGTACATTCCCAAAGCAAACATACAGGAGAGCTGCGCATATTCATCAGAAAATCAAAGTATTAGGGTGGTGCTGAATTTTTCAGTCTCAGACATATTTCCTGACTATTAGCCATGCTGATGGGCACAGTAGTCCAAGAAACCTTACCAGCTTGCCAGTTCCTGAACTTGAAGGAGGTGGCAGAAAAAGCTGCAACTGTTCTTTTTGCCTGGCCCTCCCCCACCCTGCACACACCAAGCCCAGAGGAGGCAGGCAAGCGAAAGGGCGGTGATGGAAATAGCCAGGAGGAAAAGGTTGCTGTGGTTTGTCATGAGTCTCCAAAATCAGTTTGGCTTGGTATAGAAATATAATTGCTTACTGAGGGAGGAAGAGCAGGAGGAGGAAGAGGAAGAGGAAGCTGAAATAACCCATGCCTAAAGTTTCAACATTTGCCATCCATTTCCTTCTTTTCATGGACAGTCATCTAAGAGGGATGGTGTAACTTTGAGTCCTGCACTGAGGAGGGGTTGGACCTGAGGGCCTTTTGGGCCCCTTTCAACTCCACCATTCTATGATTCTGTGACTACAGTGGAAAAGCCACGCAACCTCTAGCTCAGGATCATGGAAGCACAGGATGGGGCACATGTGGCCTTCAGACATGGATAGGCTGCAGTTCCTTTCCACTGGCGATGCTGGCAGGGGCTGAGCCAGCCCCGCAACATCTGGAAGACCTGATATCCCCCACCATTGCCCAAGCCTCTCACCTGGCCAGGATGCTGCATGCACAGGCTTTGTACCTTGGCCTGGATCCTCAGCCTTTGCTCTTCCCCTTCTTTTGTAAGAGACATGCAGGAGCTGGTGTCACCTAGCAGCTTCCCCTTTTGCCAGCCCATTCCCAACACAGCGCAGTGGCAAGTCTAGCACATCGTCACACAGATGATGCTTGGTTGCCACAGCAACAGCAACAAATGGATCAGGGCTTTTGCAGGGAGGAAAGCAGTGGGCCAGCTGTTCTGGAGGCAAAAAACGAAACAAAACAACGCAGCAGGGACAGACATCTGCTGAAGTCACCTGTGAATCCCATGTACAAATGGGGCTTCTCAGAGGCTGCAGCAATGGCCCAGTCCACATTTTGTCTCTAACAGAAGAAGTGGGGGCTAGAGATTAAGGGACACATTTGTTCCAGTTCATTTTCGATAAAGTTTTCCAAATTTAATATCTTCATATTTAGGAGGGAATGACCCTGAGTTTTGTTTCTTGTTTTTAATCTGCACCTGTGACAGAACTTTCACCTTTAATAGCTTTCTATCTTTTATAGGAAGGAATAAGAAAGTCTTTGCCATGCTGTACTTGTTGAATTTGTGTATGATGCAGGTGGGTGAGAACTTTGTTTCCATTTGGTTTTGATCATTGTTTATGGAACTCTGTAAATTTCTTCATATTTGGAAGGGAAAAGAAGTTGAGATCTGAAGTACCTGGACGTAGAAGAAACTAACACTTATACACCCCTCCCTCTCTAGCGGGTGGATTAGGTTAAGTCGGGAATTCCTAATCCCCCCCACCCCCGGATGCTGTGTCTTTTTTTCTTTTTTCTTTTTACTTGAAATTGTAACAAAACTAAACACGTGGGTACCCTGAATATGTGTACTCTAAACAGCAAGACCAGTAGCAGGAATGTATCAGCAGCAGAGACCAAAGGCATATCCATTCCCAATCACTTCTCAAAGCACCACGGGGTTGAACAAAAGAGGGGCAAAAAGGGGGTTGCCTCTTCCATTTCAAATATAAGCATGTTTAATAATAATAATAATAATAATAATAATAATAATAATAATAATAATAATAGTGGGCCACAGATGGAAATAAGCACCTGAGAAATACGGACGAGGTTCGAGGGCAAGCTCAGCTGCAGGAGGACCATTAGGAATCGGTGGTGAGTGCTTGGACCATGCATTTCTGTTCACCAGGACTTGGAGCGCCCATTTTCCCCACCCATCTGTTCATTCTCACGTCACAAGAATATAATTCAGAAGTTCATGAGCACCCACAACTTTCACAGGTGTTTCAAGAACAAAACAGATGTAGCCAGAAACTTCCAACCAGAAAAAAAAAGGTGACCACAGTCATGGCTACATCATATGCCATAACGAAACATCGGTGAGGTTTGAAGGACACACTGCAGATCCAATAAATAAAACACTTCATTGCTATTTTTTAATTGAATGTTAATGTTCATGTTGTTTTGGTTTTTTATCCTGAATGCTGCTTTGGGGCAGTTTCATCCTAAAAAATGTTTGAATAGATTAATCATCACTATCGCTGAAGAAAATGCTGTAACGCTTGGCCTCCACACAGGTGGGCTGCCTTGCTGTGAGAACGAGGCCTTGAATAATGGGTGCCGCAGATGCCCATGCGAAGTTACTGCCTCCCAGCACAAAAGCCCTGTCTCTCCCTCTCCAGAGCTCCATCTTGGCCTCCTTCCTGGCCCCTTCTGGTAACAGGAGACGCTATTGTTGGCTTCTCAGTTCTTTTTACACACCTCGCCACTGACCTGTCCTCTGAACAGAAGCCTTCTTTGTATGAGTGGGAGACTCTTCTATACAGAGTCAAAAGAAGCAAATGGCAAAGGCAAGCGGATTTGGTAGCAATTAAGTCCCACCTTGGAATGCCACTGTTGAAGTTTGTGGCACTCTAAAACTCTGCCCATCTTGTTTGCAAAAGCAGTTTGCGGGAAGGCTTTCAAAAATGCAGGTATAAAAGACACCATCAAGTAAATCAGTACTTCACAGACATAAAGCCATGATTAGATTAGACGGTGGGATGGGGGCATTATGTGAATGGGACCTGTGCCCTAGTTTACAGAGCAGAAATCACTGCTGGAAGGACTGTCAGAAGACTTGAAGGAGCCTCTCTCTGAAGAGCTGCCCCAGCAAAGGCATGCCTAAATAGTGAGCAGCAAAGGAAGAAAGAACAGTCCATTCTCTCCACAATGGTGAGATGTCTGGCACTTCTATTAAAATTAGATTATTCTAAATGTTGCATCTAAGCATGAAATCAGCCTATGGAATTCTTATGCAAATCTATGTCTTCTTTCCTGGTCTTCCGTTTTGATGATGCATGAGAACCACCCTGGGTAGAGTGGATTCGAATGACCTCACGTCTTTTAAAGCATGGGTCTGGGCACAGGAGGGCCATGTGAGCTGGCAGCATGGGCCATGCGCCCTAGTGGCCACTTCAGCAAGTATGAGATGTGGTCCCGTGAGTATACTGAGCCATGCCCATAGCTTAGAGCTTCTCCCCATGCTCAGGTGCAGTGCTGGATGCTCCCCAATTGCTAGTGCATGACCCTATTGCTAGTCCAGTCAGCTTCTATCCATGGACCAGGGAGGGGCATCATTTTGGCATTTTCAGTCTTTGAGGACAGCACGTTTAGAGGTGGATGAAAGCGTTTTCCAACCCCCAGGATTCTTCAGCTAGCAGGCACATACAGGGAGCCATAGGTACAATTACATGCATGCTGTCTAAAGAGACACAGGTCTACAGCAGGATCAGTTGTGGCTTGGAGAGCAATGCTGGAGTTTGCAAACTCTGGTATAATTACAGAGCTGTTCCAGACCAGATTCCTGGCTGCAGCATTGCGAAATGCAAAACAGGCTGTTGCATTGCTTGCTGTCTGGGAAATGCTGGCAGTTGTAGGACCTTTTGATGGCTAAACATGTAGAAGTACTTTTAATCTTCTTAGGCTTCCCTCTCCCCTTCTGCGCAATAAGAAGGTATCATCTAGGGCTCACTTTTTGAAAAGTAGCGAGAAGCAACATGGATGGCCTTTCCTAAATTTATTTAGTAGATTTATATCTCACTTTTCCTGTAAGGAATGAACATTGTATTTCAATTTGTTTTCAGCTGAGGAGGGGCTGCAATGCCTCGCCCCCCAGCGTTGAAAGAATATGGAAGCAGGGAGGCAAGGCTCATGACTAGAGCCAAAGGTGTGGCTGAAGGGGACATGGTCACCAGGCGCATGCCCTGCTGGTGGGTCAAGCTGATATGGCCCTGTACTCTGTCACACCCTTGTTGAATGTGCGTGTTGGGTCGCCCCCTCTTTTTTCTCTGGGCCTCACCTGCCGCACTGACACGCTTGGAGGGGCAACGCCCTGGCAAAGGGCTCTGGAACCCCTGGGGTGGAATGGACCCTGGTCAATGCCCAGCTTTGACGACCCTGCTGCCAGCCCTGGAGGTCATGTGAGTTGGGAGACAGGGATGGCAGAGCTCAGCCAGGAAGCTCCAGGGATGAGTGATAGTCGGACATGGCCCCCTTGTGTCCTAGCCTCGTATTCCAGCCTCTGAACCTGCTGGGTGTCTGTTCGGAGTGCCTCCAGGGGAGAGGGGTCTTCGCGTAAACGTTGGCTGTGACTTTACCTGAACATGATTGCTGCTTCCCAGTCTTGCGAAGTGCCATGTGAGATACGGCACGCTGTGGCTGTGGGTTGTGTACCAGACTGGCAGTATGGCCTGCTGCCCTTGGATCACCACCACTGAAGAGCGCGCAACCTCAACTTGCAGCACAGCGGAAGAAAAACCTGCGGAAAGAAGCAGGGTGGAAGAGAAGGGTCAGCTGAGTCCCACGTCCAAGGATGTGGGTCCAACGGGCTGGGCCCCACAGCCATAGTACCCAGAAACTCTGTGGCACGGTTAGCAGCAGGGGCAGGCCTGGGCTGGCCGCCTGGTTCGGGAGGCTACAGAAAGTTCTCAGACCAAAGCAGGCGATGGAAGAAGTGCTACGGCGGATCCAGATGCCTCCTCCCTGGGTCACCCTCCAGCCAGAGAAAGAACATATTGCTACTGGGAGATGCAATTCTTTCCTCAGCCTGGACTGCTCCACTTGTTTTCCTTTGGGGGAAGTTTAAAGAATGGCACTACTTGCCTTCACCCTGAGGTGGTACATGCCTAGCATCCCCCCCTCCCCTCTCAGCAGCTCATTCTCTGGCATATGCAGTCAGGAGCCTGAGACTAATGCAGGCTGGCCCACATCATGTGGAACCAGCTTCCCAGTATGTTGATCCTGGGCCTAAAGGTAAAGAGGAGACGATGAATGCACAGTAGATAGAGGATCTTTGCTCAGAGAACCAAGGCATTGCTCCTCATCCTGTTGCCTTCAAGATGTGTTGGCCCACAACTTCCATAATTATGGGATCTGTAGTTCAACATAAAGGGTCCAGCGAAGGGCAACAAAAATGATCCAGGGTTTGGAAACACTGCCCCATAAGGAGAGACTGGGAGAACTGGGCATGTTCAGCCTTGAGAAGAGAAGAGAAGAGAAGAGAAGAGAAGAGAAGAGAAGAGAAGAGAAGACTGAGGGGGGACATGATATCCCTCTATAAGTCCCTCAAAGGCTGTCACCAAGAGGACGGTCAAGATCTTTTCTTGCTGATGCCAGAGTGTAGGACACAGAGTAAATCAAGTCAAGTTGCAACAACCCAGATTCAGGCTGGACATCAGGAAAAGCTTCCTCACTGTTAGAGCAATACGACTGTGGAATGCCTAGAGAGGCATTCCTAGGCAGTTCTCCAGCTGCCTAGAGAGGTGGTGGGCTCTCCCACACTAGAGACATTCAAAGAGAAACTGGACAGCCATCTCAGTGGGATGATGTAACTTGGGGTCCACAACAGCAAGAGATGGACCCGATGGCCTTCATGGCCCCTTCCAACTCTACTATTCTATGATTCTATATCTGAAGTCGACCTGGTTGGGGAATGATGCTTTGGATCATTAAAGAGCTTTGTGCCAAGGGAGATGCAGGTTGAGGGCGAGTTTTATCTAGCGATCTTGTTGCTATAGGTTCTAATGCCAACTCTTATCCACCTCTCCTCCACTTCAAGTGACCTTTTAACTTCCTGCCAGATCTCCAGAACAAACCTCCCTATAATCCAAACGATAGCAGTACTTTTAGATTAAACATACACACATTCCCCATTTCTGGAAAGTTACCAGCGAATTCTTTCTGAGGGATCTCACCCATTTACGATAGAAATGCCATGGCTGAAACATTTTGCAAGCCTCAGGAGTTCTGTGCAGGTTTGTGTATGCCAATCTGCAAAAATGACAGGTAGAGAGAATTCGATCTGTGCAATTAATTTGTGTGCTGCCGTCGCCTTCAGTCACCCAGGATTGCGAGAGACACGCTTTCTAAAAAACCAAGAAATGCACGAAATCTGCTACCCTTGCTCATTAGTATTTCTATTTTGGGACGACGAAAGCTGATTAATTAAAAAACACATGTCAGAAGAGGGCAAACTGTTCTCTGAACTCTGAACACTGAACATTCTTTATGCCAACACATTTTATGTCAGCAGTGCTGGAAACAAATACAGCTAGCCCACTCAATGGCAGAAAAGCCCCGAGGGAGAGAGACGAACAGAGGAATACGTGGCTTGTGGAGCAAGATACAAAACAGTGGCTCTTCTCATCCAGTCAAAAAATACCCCATAAACTAGCCCCTTCCTTCCAACTGTGAGGTGTCCATGCAGCCTACTCTCAAAGGAGAGCCCTTTCTTTGAAGGATGGTCAGAGGATACTCGATTTGGCCCTGCAGATGTTGCTGGACTACAACTCCCACCAACCCCAGTCAGCATAGCCAGTGGTGCAGCATGATGGGAACTGCAATCTAACAGCACCTGCTCTACATAGAGGATTGTTTATTTCCCTCTTTCATGGCGGACTCCCTTCCAAGTCAGGCTGAACTTTCAAAGATCAGCCTGTATAGATAAAACAAGCGGACCTGCCACTCACTGTCAGAGTATAAAGCATTCATGGCCGGCCAGCCATGCCCTTTTCCAAGGTACTCCATTCCGTTCGCCTTAGTACTCCATCAACATTCCAGGCCCACCAAGCTTGTCGACCCTCACCGGGCTGCCTTCTCTCCCTCCTTGGGATTAAAAAATAAAACAAACCAAAGATCTTTGAATGTCTGCAAGCCTCCCTCTTTGGCATGGATGTCGTCACTTTGGCTGCAGGAAGAACCACATTCCTCTAGACACGGGCACATAGCAGAAATGGTGCTGCTGCCTCCCCTTTGATCTTCTCGCACAGCACATGTTCTGTGCTGCTCTTGAGACAGCCTTTCCAGCATGTCCCCCTCCAGAAGTGTCAGTCCGTTCCCTGCATCCTCCAGCCAGCTGGGGATGCTGGGAGTTGAACTGCAACACGTTGGGAGGGTGCCAGGTTAGGGAAAGAAGTCGTGCGAGCAGTGATGGCTGAGCAACGAATGCGGAGAGGCAGGCTGTGCTTGAGAGATCTGTGAGCATGACATTCCTGCCAGGTATGAAATGAGCTGATCGCCTCTTCTGGGAGGAGCTTTTAATGCTTTAATTGCAGAAGCCCCAACCCAGCTTTTGAGAGGGTGGCTGATGGCTCTTGAAAGTGATGGGCTGGATTCTGACTGTTCGAATCGGTATGCGGGACCTGCAGGGCAAAACTTCAGCTGAAATCGGGTGCACTCTGCAAATGCTTTGAATCTTCCTGACACTGCGATCCTGCGGAAGATGTCAACAGGATGAGAGACTTGCCCATGAGCTTGGGAGAATTATCATACATCCTTCAGACTTCGCCCATTGCCTGCTCCTTGCCTGAATCCCAGAAATAATATGACGGCAATGTTGGTTAGCATCAGCGATGCAGTCTATTAAACAGGAAGCCTTGTGGACAAGAGCTAGTGACCAGAAACCGGTTGTCTGATGAATTTTCATGCACCAGGCATGGAATGCCTTTGAAAAATAGCGGCCATGTGCGTTTTTTTCTTTGCAACAGTATGGTTGAAGCAGGATGGCTGGGTTTTCGCGTATGTTGGGTGGGGGCTTTCCAATCCAACCTGGTAGGAGTGGGAGAGAAGCAACTTAGCTACGTTCCCAAGATATATTAGACTTGCCTGCTGGACATGGACACACCTGGTGCAGTGGTGTACTGGAACCAGGGCTTGCAGGGGTGAGGTACCAGGGCCATTTTCGAGGGCTGAAGACATCACCTGCCATCTTGTTCAGGATTCCCTATCCCCTCTGAGATTCGCATCCATCTTCACAGGGTGAGGGGCAGTCAGGGATTTTTCCAGTAACAAAGTGAGCTCTCCCTGCTGCAGTGGAAAGCATTTCTGAGCATGCTGGTCTTGAATGGGCAATTAAGGGTCATTAGCTTGATGTAAAGATCTGCTCCTGAGGGAGATGCAAGCCAGTTCTAACAGAACTAGTTTGCAGACAAAGATTGGAACAGCTGCCCACAGCTGCTGTATTCTCCTTGGGTTTGTGTCTATAGGGACTGCAGGATGCAGAATTTACTACGACCAAGATGCCCACAGGTAAGTGGGGTTCCGAGGAACAGCAACATGGATTTGCCAGCCGAAGAGCTCTGGAGTTAAATTTCCCCCCAGCACTGCTTCCAGCTTTTGCTACCTGTGGCACGAGCTGTTCGATGCATTGGTTCCCACACAAGCACACAAGCTGTGCTGGCAGCAGGCCACTGTTTAATTGCTGCGTGCAAATGAGGGTGTCACAGGCACCCAAACACATAAAATTAGGATGCAACAGGCTGTTCCCCCAGGGAATGCTAAGCTGTCTCCACAATCCTCAGTGCGGAGGAAATGGCAGCCCCTCCCCATATGTCCATCTCAGCTCCCAGTGCTATTTTCAAGGACTGATCCTTAGGGGAGACACATTAAAATTAAAGGAATTTGTGTTAATCACAAGTCAATTCAATTTCACCAATGTCAACAGGTTTACTCTAAGTTAGTCAGCACTGACTGAAGTCCTATTCATTTCAATAGGTCTCTTACATGTACACCTAAGTCTGGATCTAACCCAGTCATTCTTTGTCCTTTCATCAAGGAACTCAAATTGGCATAGATGGTGTTATTTTCACAGCAACCTTGTAGGGTAGGTTAGGCTGAGAGAGTGTGTGACTGCCTAAAGCAGGCATGTCCAAAGTCTGGCCGGGGGGCTAATTGCGGCCCGTTTTCAAATTTCGAGTGGCCTGCAGCCTCTTCTTCCAGCCGGCTCAGCCTGTCACTCATCCCCGCCGGCCGGCGTTTTTCCCTTACCACACAGAGGTTCTCGAAGCTGTCCCCTGCTGCCTCCTGCTCCTTCAAGGCTGGTGGTTATATTTCACCAGAAGATGGCAGTAGACCTGAGTCAGCACTCTCGCCGCATGACCCTTGTGACACAAGGCTTGTGTGACCATTTCTAAAATGGCGACTGTAACTAAAAAAAGGAAAGTTGACAGCGAGGGCCGCCGCTTCCAGGACAAGTGGAAATTGGAGTATTTTTTCACTGAAATACGAAACAGCTGTGTCTGCCTAATTTGCCAAGAGACTGAATTCAAGGAATTCAGTATCAAGATGCACTACCAGATGAAACATGCTAACTACAACAAGCTAACTGGGAACAAACGTGGTGAAAAATTGAAGGAACTGGAAGCTGCTTTAACGGCACAGCAGCGCTTTTTCACAAGAGCCCGTGAGTCAAATGAAAATGCCACAAAGGTGAGCTATGAGGTGGCAATGCTGATTGCCAAGCACTGCAAACCTTTTACTGAG